CTCTCTCCGGTCGTGTCGGATTACCGTTCCATCGGACTATGAGCGTGAGGGAATAGAGAGTGCACCTGTGCATGCTCACACACTCATGCACTATAATCCCGTCTTGTGCAGACGGGTCTACGTCGGGACTTGCTTCGGTCTTCGTGACAGATATTCTGTCTGGAGGTTATAAATATATTAAAAATGTGTGAATTAATAATATTAAGCTTATATCCGCATGAACGCAAATTTGCATCGGTTACAAAGTAGTGTTAGTTTATTTTATAATGTAATATGACAACAGACGTTTAAAATATTCATAGAAACAAGAAACGCAAGTCGTTATCTTGCGGAAATTTATTATATTAAAGATGTGTACACAATATAATTTAATTTTGTTTTTATGAATCTAACGGGAATTAGCTCTTAGCAGTAGTAGATCAGCTCAATCGGCGTGGTTTTGGCGTTTTAATTAATTTTCTATAGTTATATATTTATGTAACAGCATAGATAAAATACACATTTATTACGTTACATATTCTTGACTTTATTGTTGCTTTTCTGTAGTAAGCGGGCGCTGTTATGTCCGAAACACACAGAAACAAATGTTTGTTTCGTCTTTTTCTGCAAGAAGGGTTATATCGCTTCTGTGTTGTGGTAGGGGGTCATGAAACGTCTCACATCAAAATAAAAAATAAAAATATGTCTATCATCATGTCAACATTATGACAAAGCATGCTGGTCTTAAATAATTTACCAATCTGTAATGTACCATGTTTTTTTTTTGCAAATAAATTATGATTATGATCACGACAACGCAGCACCGCACACGTCTGCTCACACACTTGTTTTTCTTAATTCAAATATGTGTCTTTTCTAAACTACTTCACCCGTCATATTCTTCAGACTTAGTGTTTTTAATCTGATTCCAAAAATCAAAAAACAAAAGGCAATGGTTTGAAAGGTCTAAAGGATCAGAGATACTTCCCAACTGGTTTCGACGTATGGAAATGTGTAAACGATGTATGGAAATGATAAAAAAATATGATTTTTGGGTATCTAATTATAGATTACATAGACTAGTCTTATATTACATAGACTATAGAGTCTAAACAAATTTGTGTCCGAATAACTTATCGATGTACCCTCGAAAATGTCCTTACTGTTCCATGTTTAATTGTAAAATATCGTAGATGTAATCCGTCGCGTAGGCGACGTAGGCTCGACTCTCGTAACGTTCCCGCCGCGTAGGCGGGCTACGTTGTAGACGGCTACGCTCTGGGTTTATTTACTCGAAAAGTCGAGTTTTGTTTTGTTTTTGTTATTACTGCTTTTGATTAGACTAAAGTTCATGGAATATTTATGCCTGAATTATTTTATATTAAAATCTTGTGTAGTTTGACAATAGACAACAGACATGTATTTATTCAGCGACTTACACTCATACAGTTGTGATACAGAAAATAAAATGGTATATGAAAATATCAAAGACAAAAATATAAGAAAAAAAAAAAAATAATAATAATATAATAATACAAAATTATAATATACCATGAAGTGGATTGTCCGTCTCTGCTATCACAAATTAATATATTAGTTCCTAGAGTTAGGGCTCGTCTGCATAATTATAAACCATTCTCAATGTCCTTAAGAAGAAGGAAATATGGCAGTTCCTCTCCTATTTGTACACTGGTAAAAAATTATAACTTTTTATTTCAAAATTGTAATTTAGATATATTTTGTGAAAAACCTGCTACTTTTAAAAAAATCGATTTTTGATTGTTGCAAGAGTTTAGTTTTTAGTGTTTTTATTTTTGGTTTCTAATTCTTTCATATTTTTGTGTGTAAAAAGTTTAAAAAATTTGATATGTATTCATTGATAAATTAAAAGGGGTTAATATATCAATGTATGTATTATGTAAAACAACGTCTTTTATCATTAAAAATGCTGTGCATACCTTTAATTTAAATGCATATTTATAATGTTTTTTTTTTCAAAAATCGTGATATTATAAGTTTCTTTTATGTATTTAGTTGCTAAGCCTTATTAAAAAATAAATAAATAAGAGAAAACAGACAAAATAATCTGTGTGACGTGATTCTGAAAAGGGCACTGACAACATAATGCTATCGTACGGTTGGTTGGTAGCTTTGGTTTTCAGCAATGCCCATTGAGGTTGAACTCGCCCGCGAGGATAGTGTGTACGCCATATTTCTATGTTCGAGAAAGATGTTACCAAAATAATTATTAAGCTATGAATATTATGTAATGCAGTTGCATATTTTATCCTCTCTAAAATATACACCGAAAAAGGTGTTCTTTTACTTTTACCTTAAAGTTGAAGGGGGGTGGGGGGCAAGTTGTTCCAGTACTTAGTATTTGCTTTGTATTTTCCATTTTAGTTGTCACGTTTGACAACTCAACCGTAGTTTTTTATGCTGTCATCAGGAATAATATGGGGTAGTGGTTTCTCTCATGTCACCAATACACGCCACATTTATACATTTAGGTACGATTATTATTCTACTATAACAAATGGCCATGTGCCCATCTACTCGTAGTTTAACAGTGGTAGAGCCACGCGGCAGCTTTTGCTGTCGCACAGATGGGCCGGCTCGAACCGGGATAGTACCACGACCTCACAGAAAACCAGCGTGAAGTAGAGGTTTACCTCTGCGTTTCGCTTGGTGAGTGCAGGTAGCCGGAGGCCCTTTTTACTGGAAATGAGGCATTCCATCTTAGTCCTCACGGGTGACAACGCATCTACATTTTGATTTGTAACAGAGGATAGATGTCTATGGGCCGCAGCAACCACTTACAATCAGGTGGACTGTGTGCTCGTTTGTCACCCGTATCCTATAAAAAAAATAGTTATAAACACATGGACTCTGATGGGTTATATCTCTACGATAGGTATAAGGCTTATTTTATTATGATGAAAACAGAAACGTAAATTAACACTAAATGTCGTTTTTTACGTCATTTGTTATATAGACTGAAGTCCTAGAGTATTTTTCATTTCATCCACGATTATATTCGGCTACCGTTAACAAGTACAATCATTTCTATTTGTGCAGACGTAACAGTCTGGATATTTTGACAGTTTTGTGCATTAAATTAAAACTTCGGCTGTTTAGAATTATTTAAAATTTAAAATAAATCGTCACATGTCCAGATGTCACCAATACTGGAGAGAATTGCAACGGGAGAAAACGTATTGGTCATCTGTTCTAAACCTGGACACGTCACACGTTTATAATGTAAGTGACGTGGGTAAATTAGTCGTTTTAATACTGCAGTATTTTAGTCTATCTTTTTTTATATGAGAGGGAACAAATGAGCATGCGGCTCACCAGATGGTAAGTGACTTCTGCCGCACATGAACAACTGCAACATCAGGGTAACTGCAGATGCTTTGCCGGCCGTTTAAAAAAGAGTAGTCTCTTTTCTGGAAGGTCTCTACGTCAAGTTTATATTAACCTGCCGTTAGTCGGATACCCTAGATGGTTTAGATTCACAATAGGATCCGTTAGGTGGCGCTGTTGTCGAGATGCAGAAATCACCCGTGCGAAGCCGGGGCGGATCGCTAGTAATATATAAAATCTATACATACTCAACTTACTTTAAATAATACATAAAATATCATTATTATTCTGTCTTCGATCGAGCTCGCTTAAGGCTACAAGATTAAAACGAAACACGAAGGACGCCCTTGTGTCCCGGGCCGTCGGAGCCTTTCTATATATAGCCCATCCTAAAAATAACTTTATCGCATCCCTCCGCGCCCTCTGCACCGTCCCCGGGCTGTCGATGTAGGTCACATTCAAGAGGGTGGTAGATCCCTAGGGGGAAGCTTCGAATATTCGCCATTCGGTGCAGAGGCAAGGCGGGCTGCGTGTTCGGTACAAATTTGCAACTTTACATTGCTTGTAATATAACCAACTAATGTAGTAATTGTTTTATATATTGTCAGCAAATACATTGGTTTCTTTCACCGTTTTTAGAGTATTTAATACTAGATGTATGTTAATAGGAAACAGCACATGCGATGTACATACGACCTTTCGACTTTATTTAAAGGCATTGCGAACCAGAATATTTGCATTTGTATTATAATAACTTTTTATTTACATATTTGGATAAACCAACAGTGAATAAGTACAATTTGTACTTATATTTGGGTAAAAAAAAAATGGATTCGTCGAAAAGACGAAGTAGTAGTGTGCAATACTGTAAAGTAAAAGTACAACACCTACCAGCATGAAACGACAGAATAATGCTGCTGTGTTTCGTATGGTGAGTTGGTGAGTGCAGAGCGGCCCAAATCGTTGGTAATTAAAAAAGTTTAAATTTAACGCCATAAAAAATGCATTAAATTTATTTCATTCCTTGTGTAGTATTCGAGTAAATAAAAGAAATCATTATGTAAGCTAAGCTTTTTGATTAGAGCTAAGCGATTATCATCCCATGAAGCTACGTAGTCGCTTATCAATGAGAATACGCGACTGTTTCTGCCACCAGGGCGGTGCCACTTAGACAAGAGGTGAAATATTTGATAGATTTTATAACGGTGGAAGTGAATTTGTTCGAAAAGTGTAGAGATTAATGTTTCTTTCTAAAAATATTAGTTATATTTTATAAGCCAAACTATATTCTAAACTAAACCACAGATGACTAAATATGACTAAACTATATATAAACGATATTCTTAAAAGTAAGAAAATTTTAAAAGACATTATGATCTCTTATTTTTATATCACGGGTGACCCCCGTGGACCATGGGTGCTGGAAAGGACCCGAAATGTCGGGAATTAAAATTAAGTCTAAATCTGAAAAAGTAGTTTTATTCTCTGAGGCATTATTATTTATTATGTGTATTTACACACTCTAGATACCGATAAACTTTTATAACGCAATTTCCCTATTAAAATGAATTGTGTAACAACTAGCGACATCTGAGATAAAATTATTAGCCCTCATTGCAGTGATTCGCTAACAGCATCCGTTGGTTGTTGCAGAGATGGCGCACGAGAGCGCGACGGGCGGGCCGGGGCCGGCGAGCTCGCCGCAGCACGCGCCCTCGCCGCCGCACGCGCCGCGGCTGCCGCCAGACACCAGCTTTCATCAGCAGATCATGCAGGTACCCACTGTACCAGACGAACATACTTAGACACTTTTCACTGGAAACGAGGCAATCTATCTCAGTCCTCACGGGTAACAACGCATCCGCACTTTGATTCTTAATCGATGTAGATGTCTATGGGCCACAGCATACACATACCATCAGGTGGACTGTGTGCTCGTTTGTCACCCTTATTCTAGACAATAGACTGCATATTTAACTGTTAAATTAAATACTTTTTTGCGCCTCTCTCATCTTTTAGTTTTATGATACATATCTGTACTACTCCGCCACATTTCAGATCGTTCTTTAAATGCACGACACTTGTATTGAGTTAAATTTATTCGATTACACAATGTCTTACATTTCTTTCTTCCTCTTCATTATGTGTAATAACGTCATTTAGCATTGCTGTATTGAAAGACGTGGGTCTAGAAAAACATTTAAAACCTTTTAATATCTCTGATATTTAACATTGCACTCAGTTCGTGACGGTGTTACGGTGTAAAGCTTCGTCTATATCTGTTCTTCAATAAAATTCCTACCTCATTTCAATTTAATCTCTCCAGCATGTAACCTGACAAAATGGGCCTTATAGTACATATTGTACAGTATTATACCGTACATATTTTACGACTTTTTCTCCTTGCATGTGAAGAAATCACAGCCATGATGGAGTATTTTTAAACAAGAGACTTTGATAATCAATGTAGTATATAAAATCCAATTTATCGAATTTACTATGTTTACATTGGTGAAGTGCGCTGGTCGAGCGGGCCACCCGTGACCTTTTCCCACGGCGTCTCGCACGCAACTCGCATCTCGTTTTTAAACCCGGTTATTTATAAAATGTTCCCGCGCGCGTTATAAATAAATTTCATATAAAAAAAAAACACGCCTCGGTCCATCCGTCTGCATACTACCACTATATTTACATGTGTCCGTGTAAAACGGCCGGGTAAATTTAGCAGCCAGTCGATGCGGCCCCTTGCAGTATATATAACGCAGAACGGTTCGCGTATTGAGAAAATATTTGGGCTAAGCGTACTGTTGTTGTATCATGTGTCCGAACAATGCTGGCTAAATCTGCGATGAGCATTAACGTGCTAATTATATAATAACAGTGAGCGTTGTTGATAGCGAATTGCTACTCGAACGCTTCCAACGACCGTGAATAATGCACGATCTCGGATGTTTGGACACGTGTGTGGTTTTTTACGATACGAATCGCAAACAACGTAATCAGAACATTTATTTTAAGACAAACGAACACACAGTCCATCTGATGGTAAGTGAATGCTGTGGCCCATAGACATCTACATGTATCCACAATCACGGATCAAAATGCAGTTACTCCTGAGGACTTAGATTAAATACCTCTTTTCCAGTAAAAAGAGTCTCCGGTTCTCTACACTAAACATACGAGACACAGTCGTATTAAGCTACTATTTCACGTTGGTATTCTGTGAGAGCGTGGACCTTCCGCGGTCGAAACAACCCATTCGTGCTACAAACTATAATATAGCTACATGGCTCTGCCAAGTAATTAAAAAAAAACATATTAAAAATGTATTTTCTTTGTTATTACAATTTAAAACTCTAATGGCAGTCAGTTAAAAATGAATATGTTAGAACAATGAAAAAACGTTGCTTTGTTACAGTTTTATTGTATACTTTGCTGAACGTTCACAAGAAAAAGCTTGCAGTTCAAAACGTCCCAGTCATTTATAAATCCATTTCAAAACGAGCAGCCGACTTGAGCTCACGTACTAGTATATATATATATGTATGTGCTTGAGAAGTGTTGATTAGGGAAAATTCATTTATTTGTTTCGTTGATCTCGTTTGGAGAGAGTTTGGAGAGGTTTTAACAATTGTTACCAGTACATCACGGAACTACCGTGTTAATTGCATTGACGGGCATCTTTGTTATTGGACAATTTTAAGGAGTACCAGCGTAAAATAGCAGTTTAACACTGCTGCTTTTCATATGGTGAGTGTAGAGAACCGGAGACCCCTTTTACTGGAAACGACGCATTCCTTAGTCCTCACGGGTGACAACACATCTGTATTTTAATCTTAATCGAGGATAGATGTAGGTGGACTGTGTGCTCGTTATTCACCCATATTTTATTAAAAAAAAAATGGATCGTTAGATTGACAAAATTACTCAATATACAGAACTTTTAGCGCTCCATGTATCGACCTCAATTTTTATAACATACTACCCTTCTAAAACATGAGGGCTTGTATTACCATACAATTTTACGTTTATGAAAAGGAAAAAGTTTTGCTTTATAAGTCTCAACGAAGGATTATAAGTTTGTAGGATTTATAAGATTTTTAGTAGTAAGAGTGACAAACGAGTACAAAGTGTACCCGATATGTAGTGAACGCTGTGGCCCATAGTTATACATTAATCCTGGGTTAAAAACCAAAATACATTTGCGTTGTTTCTTCTGACGTCAGTAAAGAGGGTCTCGGGCTCTCGTCATTCACCATACATAACCATTTCATGCGAAAGTGGTCCTTCCTCGGTCGACGCGACCCATTGGTGATACAGCGTGGCTCTGCCACGTACAAACGTTGGTCCGACAGTTCCTTTTATTCTACTATACTCGTACGGTGGTATGGTATCAACCACGATACTCTCATATGAGTTGGAATGAATTTCCCCACTTGCGTGTTTACAGTATTATATGGACTATTCTTATTTATAAAATGCTTTTGCCAAGTGCTAGGTTGCTGCTAATTTTGTTGTGTTGCATAGTTTTATAATATATCTACATACTACATATGTCACTCACTCCATTAACGTGAATAAAATATACATGTAATTCTGTTTGTAGGTTTGCTTTAAATCAATAGCTGTGTAAACTCCGTATTTTTTTTTTATTATCCTTACAAATAACAAATGGCTTTTATCATTATTTCCATACGTATTACTTAAATAAGACTAACCAAACGCCCGTTTATTTCGCATCCTGATCCGCTGTCCAGGCGAGTCACAATAAAAGTCTCACAGAATACGAGTGTAAAATAGTAGCTCAATACTGCGGTGTATGGGATGGTAGTGTAGAGAACCGGAGACGGATGATTGGAAACGGGGCATTCTAACATAGTTCTCATGCGTGATAGCGCATCTGAATTTTGATTCTTAATCGAAGATAATTGTAGATGTCTATGGGCCACAGCATCCACTTGCAATCAAGTGGATTGTGTGCTCGTATGTCACACTTATTCTATAAATAAAAAAATAATAAATAAAAGTAATTTACAAGTTCACAAATGAGGAGACAACACGGCAATATTCCCGACGCCCACGCGCGCGCGCAAAACATCCGTCCGCGCGGGCTATTCGCGGCGCCCGCGCATTCCAACGCCCGCCATTTTTTCCATCCAACCAAAATAATGTATACGGCGCCAAAAATACCCACAAACGCCTTTACCGGCCGTTCCGTATCCTTCTCTCCCCCCATCCTTATTTTCATCGTTTAGATGTTCATTTCATTCATTACGTGGTAAAGCCATGTAGCTACATTAGTTTGTAGCACTAATGGTTCGGCTCGACCGGGGAAGGACCACGCTCTCACAGAGTACCAGCGTAAAATAGCAGCTTGTTGTGTTTCGTATGGTTAGTGTAGAGAACCGGAGACCCTTTTTACTGGATACGAGGCATTCCGTCTTAGTTGGGGTGGCAACGCATTTGCATTTTGATTCATAATCGAGGATTGATGTAGATGTCTACAGACCACAACATCCACTTACCATCAGGTGGACTGTGTGCTCATTTGTTACCCCTATTCTTTAAAAAAAAAAAGAATTCTTTTGTTAAACTAACTTCACAGCCTACGCCGCACGTTCTCATCTATATTTAGATATTGTTGTCACATCTCGAGGGAAATTTAACTTCACTCTTTGTTTAATATAACAAAAGAACACTCCGTTCTAATTTAGTATTACACGCTCGCTCTAAAGCATGCTAAAGTTGTTACTTAAATAGGTGGCGAATATAGGACAAAATGAGTGTGTGTTTGTTTTTTTAAATAAGTAGGGTGACAAGCGAGCACACAGTCCACCTGTTGGTAAGTAGATACTGTGGCCAATAAACATCTACATCTATCTTCGATTAAGTATCAAAATGGAGGTGCGTTGTCCCCATGAGGACTAAGATGAAATGCCTATTTCCAGTAAAAAAGGGTCTCCTGTTCTCTAAACTCACCATATGAAACACAGCAGCATTGAGCTGCTATTTTACGTTGGTATTCTGTAAGAGCGTCTCCTACCCCGGTCGGGCCTACCCATTCGTGCTACAACCATAAGACAGTTGCAGCACGGCTCTACCACGTGAACGTGTGTACAGTATTACTAACGTTGCCGATGCTGGTGTTGTCATACAACTAATACGAAGATGCCTTGTTAGCCCACTGCGGGCTTGTCATGCTCTCATACATGTGTTTACTCTCCTTGTCAGAATGAGAGCCCGAGAAAGAAGCATATTGCGGAGAGAGCGAAACAAAGCTTAGAGAATAATTTCCTGATGCAAGTGAGTGAACCATCGCCTATTCGTACTGTGTGTACAGCGTGCCGTGGCGTATTCAACCGATGTATTGATATTTTTAAACATTGTCATTGAAATAACATATTGAAGAAACATTAACTTTCTGTACTTATTATTAGGTATGTTTTATTCTATGAACTGTTTTGTTTTGTTACTTATCTATATCACCAGGTGCCCCGAGCATGAATTTTATATGGTGTCTAATTCGTGACGCCATCTAGTGACTTAAGTGTGACAAAACATGGTTCCATTTACGTTCACCAGTTCAAATTACCATTCAATTTTAGTAGTTAACATTAACGTCAAAAACTTGTGCTTAGAATGCATTTTTATTCAATATACATTGCAAGAATACTTATTGAAAGTCATTTAAGCTTAACCATTGGTACAGAAAAAAGCCTCTGTCTTGGAAAGAGCCAGCAAGAAACACAGCGACTCTATTTTTACGATATAATACTTTATAAAATTAAGTATGATCATTTTGAAACAGCTTGGTAGCAATGACCTCTTTCCCAGGGGTTATTATCAATCATGTACAATATATTTAGTAGTATTGTAACCCTTATTATATAAATTTGTTTAATTATAAATAGCTAAATTGCTAGTGGCACAGTATACTAATAAGATATTAGATAATATTGTACTGTGCGGAATATATTTAAATACGTAAGAGCCAAGTTAAAGCTGATGCTGTATGAGTAAATACTTACAGTTATAATAATTTAACCTTCTTTAACCTAGAAAATAGTCTAGGTACCATTAGGATCCGTCGTACTTATCACGCTTGGTGTGAATTATGGTAGAAATTTGTAAACCACTTGAAATTAAAAATCGTTTGTTTAGTCAGGATACACTTACCTATATACTTTGATACCATCAAATCCATTAAAATCAAATTAACAAGTTGCCAGCATCTATCTTTCCATCCGACTACATGTGTCTCCAAGACAAGAGTGAATAGGCTTTTGGTAAGTCAGTGCGCTTTACTATCTTCCGCTGCATCACCACTTACCATCAGGTGGGATTCTAGTTAAGAGTCGGCTTAGAATAATATAAAAAATCGAATGAACAAGGTCCCTTTATTTCAATCACAATGCTTGCGTTTTTATTGTTATGGTGTCTTATTGTCGGTTGAATATAACACGTGACGCCGTTATTTTTACAAATACTTAACTGTTTCTGTGTGTGTTTTGAAATATCATCTTTATTGAATAAGTAATTGAGTTCAAGGTGACTTGAGCAGTTCTCGGTCGTCGATATCGAAAGCCCAAATAACAGCGAAAACTGTTCACTCTTAAAATATTACTATATGAATTTTGCTAAATAGCTTAACCCCTTTAATATGCATCAATTCAGTTGCGATTTAACACTTTGGATATAATTTCAGTAATTTTTGTTTTATGCGCTGCATTTTTACTCGTAGATCTATCTTTTTACCCGACAGCCCTAGAACGAAGGTAATGGTTTTCGAGTGTATATATGTATGTCTAACTCTTTGTCACGCTCTGTACCCTAAACAGCTTGATGTATTTTTACTATGAGATATCGTTAGATTCGTCTTAGTAGTGGAAGTGACATAAGTATTTTTTCTTCTTCTTTTTAGTAAAGTTTTAATGGCGTCGGGGTTTATTTTATTACTGTTTTGACCATTATGCTTGTTTTAAATATGTGTGATTGCTTTATCACGATTTTTTTTAATTTTATAGCTAATGTGAGCGCAATATAATAATTAAATAAATATGGTTAAATATTTATTACATACTACGAATCCGCCGTGGCTTCGCACATGTGATTTCTGGATCTCGACAGTGGGTAGCGCTGTTGTCGAAATCCAGAAACGTGAATGTAAACAATCTAGGAAACCATTCACACACACACAAAAAGATTCACCAAAATCAGTCGAGCCGTTAATGAGTTTTAGCGTGGGAAATTGATTTTTATATATAGTTATAATATAATGATGCAGGACTTTGTAAAATATTCATGAGCACATCAAAACTTTAATAGCGAACGAGTATTTAGTATTGACATTGAAATCAATGTTGACTTCAATATCATCATCATCATTATAGCCATCAATACCTTCACAAGTCCACTACTGAACTCACGCCTTCACCAAAGAATCGCACCCTATGACACTCTTGATAAACTAATCCGTAATATTGTCTTCATACCGGAAACAGTCAAAGTATTTTGGTGTTTTAATAATATTATCACATTTCTCGGTCCATTAGTTTATATTTGTATAGTTGTCATCGATATGTAAATACAACTTTGTATTCAATCAATCCTGAGGAAAACCTGTGAACAACTGTAATGACCAAACCGTATAACTGTATATACGAAAAAGAAACCACTAACCCATATTATCCTGTGGGTGTCGTAAGCGACGATAGGAGGAACTGAAACAGGAGACGATCAGCGCAATCTTCCTGATAACTACTTAATAGTAATGCTTTGCGTCAGAACCACGGTAAATATCTCCCTATGAAGCGATATATAGGGGAGGTATATGTGGACGTTTGATATGCTGTAATGAATGAATAAAAATTCGAAATAATACATACATTAGTTACAGGATAAACATTTATTTCACTGTTTTTCTTTTTTTTGTGTTTCATCTGACATCATTTGACAAGTTCAGGGCTCAGAGTATATCATTTGCAAAGCGCAAGCTGCGAGGACTGTTCATGGAACTGATACCCTGACGATGCCAAGTGAATGTTATAAAGAATTACAATGAAACCAGTAAAGAGCGTTAATAATGATAGTGCTTAACTAAGTGATAATAATCGCAAGTATAACTTGTAATAAATGAATACCATTAACGTAAAATACGAGTTTTAGATGACACATGTAGAGAACAATTAATCATTAAAATGTTTTTAATTAATGTGTTAAGCTTTCAAAATTACTAAAATATTTGACTAGAGATAGACCTACGTAAATGATATACTAAAATTTTGTTATTAACACAGCAAAGGCAACGTAGTAGCAAAGTGTTATGTAAAGCGTCTGCTCCTACATGTTGCAGCTGAAGAAGCAACAACAGCTGCAGCAGGAGATCTTGTTGCAGCACTTCCAGCAGCAACGCCAGCAGCTTGCAGAGCAGCACGAGCAGCAGCTGAGGCATCACTTGAAGGTAATTTTATAATGAGCACGTATATATATACATATGTGTGTGTTAATATACGTGTATATTCTTATACAAATATATGTGAGTTTTACCTAAGATCGCTGAACTCTCTTTCTGTTTTAAATTATTTTAGATTTAATCCCTCATTTCAATACAATTTGAAAAACTTTAAAAGCCAATGTATTGTTAACTCAAATAAATAAAAATAACAACTTAAAAATCTCTTGTACATACTTTTATCTTTAACTAGCGATCCGCCCCGGATTCGCACAGATGATTTCTGGATGTGGACAACAGCGCCACCCACCAGGTCCGGTTGTGAATGGCTGAGACCATCCAGGGATCCACTCAAACACACAAAACATTTGATCAAAGTCGGTCCAGTCATTTTCGAGCTTTGCGAGACTAATGGACAGCAATTGCTTTTTATATAGTGACATATGCGATCTCATTAATAAATTTCATCCACTCATTATTGCCATCCAGGAGATGTGGCTTAGGCCTGGGCCTCATTTTAGGGTTTCAGGCTACGCGTGCCTCCGAGATGACAGGAGTGATGTCCGTGTACCATTTTCATTTCAAGAACAGTAACATTTTCTCAAATTCCTCTCCTTTCTCATAGTCCAGCAATTAATGATGTTGCTATTAAGGTCTTTGAAATTTCTATTGTTTCTGTTTACATTCCTTGTGTAAATGTCGTAACAGAACTTGCAACACTTATTTCTTCTCTGGCACATCCTATGGTTATTGTAGGAGAGTTTAATATGTATCATACTGTTTATTTGGCTCATTTTAAGGTTTTTAGAACCTATGTATATAGCTCCAGTTATTTATTAAATATTATTTAAACAATTATTAACGCAGGCATGTACTTAATGAACAGACGAACGTGTGATATGTATTATATATTATATACGTATTATATGTTTAAGTGTCCATTTACCTAACTCGTAAAATAGTCGTCGGATATTGATACAGATAACATAAATTACTTGTAGGCATACTTAATGAATTACTTGTTTCCTTTGATTTGTATTTATATTTTATTATTTTATTTATTATTTATTTGATTTATATTTTAATTAGAAGAATTTATGTTTTGTTTCTTAGAACGGCAGTAAAAAGATACCAGTTAATTAAAATACACAAACGGAAACAAATGTTAATTAATAAAATCAGGCGTTACTTTGTGGAAATCCATTATATCGTAATGTATTACGCGGATATAAGCAAATTAATTATGAACAACCTTCAGAAACAAATTTGGCATAATGATATTTTGTATTATTTTCACAAAGACCAGTGTACAATTTTTTTTATACCAACCGATTTAAACACTATTAAAAATTATTTATGTAAAATACAAATTAATCGTTTCTTCATATAATTTAATTGATTGTTACAATTTTAGTTAAAATATTTTCTCTCTTTACTTTATATTTTATTATAGAAAAGTTTTTTATCTTCCAAACGAGCACACAGTCCACCTGATGGTAAGAGGATGCTATGGCCCATAGACATTTACATCTATCCTTGCGTTATCACATCTGAGGACTAAGGTGGGATGTCTCGTTATCAGTAAAAAAGGGTCACCGGCTTTCTACACTCATCATACGAAACACAGCAGCATTAAGCTGCTATTTTACGTTAGTATTCTGTGAAGGCGTGGTCCTTCCTCGGTCGAGTCGACCCATTCATGCTACAATCATAATATAGCTGTAGCATGGCTTTATCACATGTAAAAACGAATGGGTAAATATCTTATAGTGAATTATTTATAGCCTATTTCAAATTATATGAAATTAGATAATGCCCCTATAAGTCAATCTATCCAGGAGGCTTGTGTTCAGTAGACTTTTGAAAAGGCTTAATAAATGAAAAGAAATCCCCATTGGTCCCAGTAAGGCAACACTGTGATGTTAATTTAAAAAAACATTGATAATTTTGGCTAATCAAATAACAAATAAGGTTATTTGCCACCTTCGTGTAAGCTCAATATTAATTCATAGTCTATTTATAGCTCTACAAATGGCGGAGTGTAAATTATTATTCAAATTTTTATTTACTGAGCGACGTTTTCCTGTCGGCACACGCGACGTCTATAAATAGAGCCTTGTAATTAGGCCGACCATGGCTACCTATTCCGATCGGTAAATAACAAATGTTTAACTATATTATGTCATTGACTAGCGACGTGCCCCACCTTCGCCTGGGTAGATTCTAATGTGGCTTTATTTAGATTTAAGATAATCGAATACTATTTCTATTATCAATTTGTAGTTTTTTTTTTCAAAAAAAAAATACTTCAGTTTTTTTTGACAAGATATAGCCTGCATCCCTCGTGGCATTGCTCTCTTATGTTCATAGTTTCAGTCATTCCGAAGAATAGCCCAGACAAACAGACAGACAAAAAGAAAAAATCTTAAAACTATTTATTTATGTCTTCATAGCATTGAAATAATCCTCTGAGCTTAATAGAAGTCAGTTATTTTAATACTACAGACGGCCACTTCAATTTTATTTATATGTATGTATATGTAAATGCCGTGGTAGCTCAGATGGTTAGCGCTCGCTGTAAATTTCACAGTACGCGGGCAACCCGTGTTCGATCCCCGCCGGCACCAATGAAATTGTTAATTGCAATTTTAAGTGCTGATTTACCACGTGCTCGGCGGTGAAGGAAAACATCGTGAGGAAACCTGCATGTCTGAGAAATGAGAAAAAAGTCATGTGAAGTTCGCCAACACGCATTGGGGCAGCGTGGTAAACATTTCCTTGACCTAAGACCCTCTCAGAAATCAGGGAAGGCCTGTGCCCAGCAGTAGGACGTATATAGGCTGTAACTTTTATATGTTAATGTAGATAATATAGACGTAGATAAATTTTAAAATTTCACAAACATGAGCAGGCTTCATAAAATGGTTTCGGCACTCTAATTACATAAGGAGCTATTTCTATCCGTTGTGACTAGGCAATTGATTAACCTCTGCGACCTTAATTAGTGCTCCCATGGGAACGACACCTATATCCTTGCATACTTTGCGGGAGATATGCGCCACGTAATTTATTATTCGTTAAAAGTATACTCCTGTATCGTGGAGTTGTTTTAATTGCATCAATTTCAAATAAGAAAACCACCTAAAACTAGAGCCTCATAATTAGATATTTGTAAAAAATTAGCTGTGCTCGGCATGCGTTGCAATGTCTCTTTTTAACTCACTTCAAATAGGGTACTCAACTCGACTGTATTTTGTATTCTTTTTTTATGTGTGTCACCTCATTAATTTTTTTTCTAGATAAACTGATTGTGATGATTCTTTTTTTTATTTGAAAGCTGGTGCTTCTCATGTGTCCCATATAAATTTGATCAAGGTCTGAGCAGAAGTTTGACCGAAGACCCCTTTTACTGGAAAGGAGACATTCCATCTATTTTTAGGGTTCCGTACCTCAAAAGGAGAAAACGGAACCCTTATAGGATCACTTTGTTGTCCGTCTGTCTGTCTGTCTGTCAAGCCCCGTTTTCTCAGGAACGCGTGGAGGTATCAAGCTGAAATTCATATCAAATACTCAAGTCTACTGTACCTTGGAGCTGTGAAAAAATCAAACTTCTAAGCCAACTCAATCAAAAGATACAGCCGTTTATGCCGCAAATTTTCGACATTCGCAAGGGAATCAAAACCTACAGGATACTTCCCGTGAACTCAGAATCTTGAAATTTGGTACGAAGCAGCGTTTTATAGAACAGATAAAGGAAAAATTGCGAAAAGAAAAATATTTTAGTTACATCATATAATAAAAATATTTTTAATAATTTTAAACTTATATACATACGGATTTGTTCGGAACCCTCGGTGCGCGAGTCCGACTCGCACTTGGCTGGTTTTTAACTAATTAATTCAATACAGTATATTTACCAGGTATCTTCTCAATTTTTTTTATAAATTATAAAATTTTTATAGATTTTGAAACACAGTAATTTCATCAAATTACCTTCTAATGAATACAAGCGTAAAATAGCAGCTTAATGCCGCTGTATTTCGTATGGTGAGTGCAGGTGGCCGGAGACCCTTTTACTGGAAACGAGGCATTCCATTTTAGTCCTCACGGGTGACAACGCGTTTTGATCCGTAGTCGAGGATAGATGTAGATGTCTATGGGCCACAGCAACTACTTACCATCAGGTGGACTGTGTGCTTGTTTTTCACCCTTATCCTATAAAAAAAGTTTTTCAGTTATCCTTAATAGTTTATATTATAGTCGGTTGTACAAAATGTTTAATTTTACTACTTGTTGTCAGAAACCTTTTTTTTATAGCATAAGGGTGACAAGCGAGCTCATAGTCCACCTGATCGTAAGTGGTTGCTGCGGCCCATAGACATCTACATCTATCCTCTATTACAAACCAAATTCAGATGCGTTGTCCCCTGTGAGGAATAAGATGGAATGCCTCATTTCCAGTAAACAGAGTCTCCGGTTCTCTACACTCACCATACGAAACACAGCAGCGTTAAGCTGCTATTTTATGCTGGTATACTGTGAGAGCATGGTCCTTCCCCGGTCGAGCCGACCCATTCGTGCTACAACTATACTACTAATATAGCTGAAGCATGGCTCTACCACGTAATCGCTTGCGCGCGCTTAATAACTCACATACTAGGTGGTAGAACTCCTTCACTCCTAGGAGGCCGAGTAGGTACTTAATAGCAGTACTTGCACCGTGTTCCGGTCTCTAAGTGTAAGTAAGTCTTTATTTGTTACGTAATAGTGAGTTAGCTCAATAAAAGTCCAAAGATTATAAACTTACAAGCTGTTACACCCTCTTTCATCCCTCTCAAGGTTTGAATTTTCCAAAATATTTTCTTAATAAAGAAAGGAGTATACAATTAAATTTAAATACATATTTAATTGCTAATTGTATGTGGTTTTATTACCTCCGTGTCAGCCAGGTACCACCTACCTACATTTTTGCAAATAAAATTTTATTTAAAATTAATTTAATTTTTTTATGATAGAGTTTTCTGTAGTGAAGTTATTTCTATACGCTTGAATACAGATTCTGATAATGCATTCATCGGTAACCACAGGGTTTTTGTAACGTACTGTATAAGCCAAATTTTTTTTATGTATATATATCAGCGAAATATCACTAACTTATTTATCAAGAGATCTACAAAACGCCCTGTAAGGAATTCATTACAGCCCTTCACTAGTCCACTACTGAACATAGGCCTCCCCCAAGGAATGCCACAAAGCACGGTGCGGAGCCACCTGCATCCATCGATTTCCCGCATGTCTTATTAGGTCGTCACTCCATCACGACGCCCTACACTTCGCCTGGCGGTACGAGGCTGCCATTCGAGAACCTTTCTTCCCCATCGGTTGTTGGTTCTTCGAGCTATATGGCCGGCCCATTGCCACTTCAGCATACTAATTCTTTGGGCTATGTCAGTTACTCTGGTTCTACTGCGGATATCCTCGTTTTTAAGTCTATCACGCAGATAAACGCCGAGCATAGACTCCTCTATAGCTCCGTGTATACATCGTTTAGAGATATTAAGGCGATGATTCACATTGAAAACATTCGCAGAAAGCGTTCAAAATGCGCTGTATACGTGGAGAGAGTCCAATAAATATGATACATAACGAGAGCGACAACAATGACGCACCCCCCGGGAACGCGCTCCTTTGCTCGATGACTTCAGTGAGAGCGCTGATGTCACCGGAGTAATCTAATGTCGCAGATCGGTTTGTCAGCGAACAGCTGTCCTGCCGTGGGACTCGCGGATACGTTGTAACACTTTGTTGTTTTTTTATACGTGGTAGAGCTACGCTGCAGCTATATTATGGTTGTAGTAGGAATGGGTCGACTTGACTGGGGAAGAAACACGCTCTCTCTCTCTCTCTCACACATGTTTTATATGATGAGTGTAGAGAACCGGATACCCTTTTTACTGGAAACGAGGCACTCCATCTCAGTTCTCAGGGGTGTTAAGGCATTTGCATTTTGAGGCGTTTTGTAGATTTGAGATCATCAAAGACATTTTTTTTTATAAATTTATCAAAAATTAATAAAAATAAATAGTTAGAAGTTTATTTACTCCAAGTTTTTAGAATAAAATTAAGCCTAGATCGCTCTTAACATAGCTCTATCTGTTCATTAGGTCAGTTCAATCATTTCGAAGAAAAAAAATGGTTATTATTGTCTTAAGCGCATGCCCTCATCTCAATAAAAGGCAGTTATTTCGATATTACAGACGTAAACTTCAATTTTATCTATATATTAAAACGTCAAGAGATAACTGTGTAGCAGTGTGCAATCGAAAGTGAAATATATAGCTTATACTAACTTGAAAATGAAATTACGGGCAACAGAACTAATTTTACCATTATCGGACCAAAAATTATTCATTAAAAGTTGAAGGTAACCTTCGTTAATTATGTTATCTGGACATCAATTACCTCAGTCCACCCGTGACCATGCGTGCTGAACAGTGCGATAAAATTCGTATAATTAGTTTTATTTTATGTGTAGTATTCGCGTGAATAAAGCAAACGTTCAATTAAACTACGGTCGAATTTCGATCTCTGGACCATTGAAGTATTATAGAAAAGACACTGTGCGCCAGTACGGGGCGCGTAGTGGAACGCACAGAGCACCTTTTTATGGCACAAACTAAGTTAATTTGAATTTGCAAACAACCAAGCCTCGGGCTCTCTTCTAGTACGTAGTACTCGTACATATTACTTTAATGTCCTGAACAACCACTTGTTTATACTGAATATATGAATTGTAGCTGTGGGAGCAACAGAAGGCAATGGAGGAGGCTGCACTGCGGGAGGCGAGGGAGGCGAGAGAGGCGCGGGAGGCGCGGGAGGCGCGCGAGAGGCACGAGCGCGACCGCGTCGAGCTGCTGCGAAAGAAGGACAAGCACGAGCACAGCGCCAACGCCTCCACACAGGTCAAGCAAAAGCTGCAGGTAGCTACAGACACACTCGTAATCAAACACTTCTATGTGCATTACTAGACCAGCATTTATGAACAAAAACTGTCATAATTTTGAATTGTCACGGACGGACAGTTGTATATCCATTAACGACAGTTACTGTTTTTAGACAAATAGGAAAATAAAAGTTATAAACTTATCTGAAATAAAATACAAATCATGTTGACAAAGTACGCAAATAAATAATGACAGTATTTTCGATCTGTCGAAAACAACGGCACGTTTTACTGAGACTAGCCATATGCACAGGATATACAGTGTAAAGACTATTATAAGTCAGTGGCTTATGATAAGTAAAAAGTTCCCCTAATCAATGAAGGCACAATAAATGAAAAAAATGTTAGGTTTTTATTTATTTATTGTGCCTTGGCCACAAGGCCTTTAGCCAAAAAATATATTGATTGTCAAATTTCATGCCATATTGCGATGGTTTAGGGAGTTTTAAATTGAATAAGTCTACCAATTTACACTACTTTATTAATATGATTACATCCCAAATATCTTCTCTCTACCACTTGTATGCAGATGATCTCCAAATATATTTACAAACAACCATTGAAGATCTTCCCAAAGCAGTGGAATGTATCAATAAGGATCTGACATGTATTCTCGACTGGAGTCGTTCTTATGGGTTAACAGTGAACCCTTTAAAATCCCAAGCCATAATCATTGGGAGTTCAAGAATGATTTGCAAAATAAAAAAATGTCAACTACAACCCGTTGTATATAATGGAGTTCCCATCCCTTATAATGACGTTGTTAAAAATTTAGGTATCCTCTTGGATTCAAGTCTTTCTTGGGCACCCCAAATTAATGCAGTGAGCCGTAAAATGTTTGCAGCTTATGCTTCACTCCGGAGGCTTAATTACTTTTTACCCATTGCCACCAAAATTACGCTTGCACAATCGTTACTACTCCCTATCCTCGACTATGCTGACATTTGTTACCTTGATGTCACCGAGGAGCAACTTAACAAGCTTGAGCGCCTCCAAAATCTCTGTATTCGGTTCATATTTGGACTTTGCAAATATGACCATGTCTCAGAATACCGCACTAAGCTCAAGTGGCTCCCAATCCGTCTTCGTCGGAATACTCATATACTTTCTGCTCTCTACTGCGTCTTATTTAATATAGCTAGTCCTTCCTATCTTAAAGAACGTTTTAGATTTCTCAGCTCCTGTCATAATTTTTCCTTACGATCCAAAGAAAATCTTTCCCTCCAATGTCCTGTGCACTCCTCGACTTATTATGACAAATCATTCTCTGTTCTTGGAGTAAAACTTTGGAACTCCTTACCCCAATCAATTAGAAGTGCTCAATTCTTAAATGTATTCCAGAAACAGATTAAAGAATACTATTTATCTCTCTAACTCCTCTCAATTCCTCCGCTTAATTATGGTTATTGATCTGCCTGAAGAATGTTATCTTTTTAATGCATAAGTTTGTATCTTTATTTTATTTTTATTTGTCTTTATTATTTTTTATTTTAGTGCACCCTACCCATTGTTCTTTTTCTTATTTTGTATTTATTTCTTCTTCTGGGTTGTCTTGTAGCAATAAGACCGCCCTTTGTATTTCCCTCAATAGTTGTTATTTTTTATTTTTGATGTTGTTATCTTTTCTTGGTGTACAATAAAGAGTATTGTATTGTATTGTATTGTATTGTAATAAGTCTACCAAACATGCATATAGTCCACCAGATGGTAAGTGGATGTCGTGGACCATAGACATCTAATCTCGATTTAGTATCAAAATGCTGATGGTTTGCCACGCCTGAGAACTAAAGCAGCTTAAGCCAGCAGACAGTCGATGACGATAGTACCCCAAGTTTTCAAGGTGCCTAAGCGCGGTAAACAACTTGAGGTGAATATCACCATCATAGCACTTGTTTAATTGTTTTCACTAATAATTTACATGTGTTAAATATGTAAAATCGCATCACTTATATACTGTTAGAATCCACTTCCAACCATTATTTAAACAATGATCAAGATCTACCGGTAATCAAGTTCCCGCCCCCCTCCCGAGTGACTAAAGAAGTCAGGCTCTTACGCACTTACCCGTTGACACTTAGGATCTTTGTTCTGCAACATTTACCAATAGTCGCTATACGTTTCAGTTAATATTATTAAAATAAAACGATGATAAATGCTGCATCTATTTACTTTGTCCATGGAGATCTACAGTGGACACCTGGTGAAGTAAGATACAGATTTTACCTTGTTTAGGCACCAGTTTTTAACCCATCAATAGTATTGTTTTAGATGTAAGCTTATATTCATTGTTGCTCTCTTTAATGTATATTGTTGGTGGAAATAAAATAAATAAATAAAATAAAATCAGAATCCTTTCTTCAATTTCAGGAATTCCTAAAGAAAAAACAAGCGGCAGCAAGTGCTAACGGGACAGTACCTGGTTCACCTTACAGAAATTGGTGAGCTTACATTCTTTGGAAATAAAAAGAATAATGTAAACATAAGTGTTGTCGCTTATAGCCATGAAATAGTTTGCCCCATTTTTTGGGAGTTTTTACTTTGAAGAAAGCGTTCGTTAAATCCGTAAAATTAGTTTTATTTCATAGGTGTTGGTACATTTAAACTAACGCCTGTTATTCCACCAGGGGTATAGTGAAATCGTCATCTGGGGAGTCGATAACATCAACTGGGGCGACTGCAACGGCACACCCGTACAGAATAGCGGCGCCCCTCCCACTGGCCCTCAACGCCGCACCTCCTCAACCTTCTCCCGCAGACTACCCCCTCCGAAAGACCGGTGAGTAGACTGCAGAAGTGAGTATACTCGGGAGAGTACACTGATAATTTCAAAATGAATGTTGTGTCGCAAATCTAATGCTTAAGTATTGAGATACTAAGATTATTATGAAAATTGTTCATGTTGTTTTTGTGTGTAGTGGATTTTTTTTTAATAAATTTTTACTTAACTAACATCTATTCACAGATTATAAGATACGTACAATTATTTCTACTGTTTGACAATTGATAAAAAAATTGATTTAAAATATTAAAATCCTTTAAAAATCACGCAGTTGGTGTGAATTTTTATCCCTTTTGACATGTAAGTAAAAATTTATATTATAGTTAAGGAAATTATTGACGTACCAAATACTAAAAACTATATACGTTGTTAGAATTTAAAAAAAGAACTATAACAACGAATGTGTGTGTTCAAACCGCTGCACTGGCTCGAGGTAAATAGCCAACAATCGAAACCGATGCACAGAACAAACTATTTTTATATGAATTATGATAAACCAGGATTGGTATCTATGTATAATATATAAAACACATACCCACATTATATAACATCCTTACCCTTAGCCTTGCTCACAGGTCATTATATCCTCTGCAATGGTGGTTCCCTGGCAGAGATCGCTTGTAAGCGATGAGGCTGCCAATTGTGTTTTTTTTCTTTTATCGGTGTACAATAAAGTATATTTCATTCATTCACATTAAGTGAAAGACAAATTTTCTAATTGACTTGCGATATCAACATTACTGTATCCAAAATAAGAGAGAACCGTTTTGTTTTTCGTTTTCTGCCAAATATTTCGGTTAACCTCACGAATAATAACATTGACTTTAAGTACGTATCCTGTCTTGTAAAAGATAATTTCTGTGTCTCAAATTATCATTAGTCATTATCAGCATTGTGGTAAAACACTTGTGTCATTTGAACTTTTTTACTACAGATTGTATATCTGTTCTTTCCCCAGAGATCATTTTGACGATTATACATAGATCATATTATTTAACATATAGCTCACACAGTTTATTCCTTCCAAATATTTATTACTTTGCCGAATACCTAATTCATTGAGTGGTTATTTAAAAGTAAGCGCGCGAGTGTCTCACGCTATCACTCTTATTCTACAAAAAAAAAAGATGAGCCGTCAGGTTGATATCGAAATCAAATGTCAATTTTTAATTTCATCTGATGTTATTCTCGTACTCATTAAGGATCCCGTGTTATATAACTGGTGGAATTGTTGTCAAGCACTAGCTTATAATAATTTTAAAAAAAATCCGTAAAGTGAATGAAACTGAAAAGTTTGCATCGATCTGTTAATGAATCTGATGTGAGCATCGATTGAGGCTGTTTGCCTGGAGCCGGCAGCGGTGCGGTGTTGCGAGTGGTGAGCAGTGGAGCGAGTGGTAGGTAGAGTAACAGCATGCGCGTGCACTAACAGCGTCGGAGCCCAACATGCTGAAGGTGCGCCTCAAGGCGCGCGTCATCGAGCGCCGCGCCTCGCCGCTGGCGCGCCGCCCCCTCAAGACCAGGGTCAAGCACCGCAGTAAGTACTCCCCTCCACTTATATCTCACGGTGCCATGGATCATAACATACCCGTGCCACAATGACAAATCAGACAACGCAATCAATACAATTAGCGTAGTTAGCGTCGTATACTTTAATGAATGGCATATTCGTTATATTTGCGGGTATATTGAATATTTCGGCGAATACAGCAACACAATAAGTAATGTAAAGTACTACCATTAAATATACTTTCACAAACTTGCAGTACTATAAGACTGTTTGTCAAAACTCATTAACATTTTACTCGTTAAAGTTCCTGCTTTTGACTAAACCGCGAGTACTAGATAGTAGGACTCCTCTCTAACTAGGAGTCAGTCTGGTTAAGTACGCCTCTCTACACTCTTACCTACGACTATGTTTGCCTCCAAGTAGGAGTACATACACTGCCGTGTTCTAGACTGAAGAATATAAAGCCAGTATATATACCTTAAGCCATTCAATCTTAGTCCTCAAAGGTGACAACGCATTTGTAGCCTAATTGTTTTATTGTTAGCTACGGGCGTCTATAAAATATATAAGCAACTTACCAGTCACTTTAGTTTTATAAAAAGAAATATTATGACTAATGTGGTAAAATTTATAGAATTTTAGTTTAGTCGGTTTTTACATATTACTGATCATTAAGTGATGATTTTATTCTTTCTATGATTTCTTTATCAGACCGCAAAAGTCCATTGTTGGACATCTTTTGTTATAGAAAGGATTTAATTATAGAATATATATTTATATATAGAAACGTCGCGCCTTATTGATGATAGTAGTAACAGACATCTCGCACATTTAACGCTACTGACCGTCCGGTCTGGACATCTTATGTTTGTCGCAAAGGAAATGGTTTTGCCATCTAACGAAAGCCATGAGATTTTTCTGGCAATTTCCACAGTCGCCTCTTAAGATACCCTCGGAATGAAGGATAGGTCAAGAAAAATTCCTTTTGTTCTGGTAGTTTGCGTGCAATAAATAACCGACTATAAAAAGACTTACGTGGTAGAGACACGCTGCAGCTATAGTATGGTTGTAGCACGAATGGGTCGGCTCAAATCGAGGAGGATCACGTTCTTACACAATACCATCGTAAAATAGCAGTTTCATGCTGCTTGCTGTGTTTCGTATGGTGAGTGTAGAAAACCGGACACCCTTTTTAGTTGAAACGAGTCCTCAGGGGTGACAACGCATCTACATTTTGATTCTTAATTGAAGATAAATGTAGATGGATCGCAGTATCTACTTACTTTCAAGGACACTGTACTTGTTTATAACCCTTATTTTACAATAAGGGATCCATGTTTCAAGGCTGTAAGGCATTCTATTGTAGTCTTTAGAAGTGAAAGTGTTTGTGGTGACAGCGAATATAATACACTTGGCAGTATTTCTTGTAATACGTTATGAAAGTCGCGAGCAGTTAGAGTATTTGGAGTTTTGTGTGCGCAGACTGCGAGGGCGGGTCGCCGCGCAACTCGCCGCCGGGCGCCACGGCGCCCATCCGCGAGGAGGAGGAGGCGTGCTCGCGCGCGCCCGAGCTGCTGTTCTCGTCGCCGTCGCTGCCCAACATCTCGCTGGGCCGCCCGCACGCGCCCGCGCCGCGCCACCCGCACCCGCACCCGCACCCCCACCCCCACCCCCACCCGCCGCCGCCGCCACCGGTACGTACACACACATACACATACATACGTGAATACATTATGAAATAAAATTTAATGTTCAGTTTGAATTGGCCGGCTCGAAGGACCGTCAACAATTTTATTTATTTGATCTTTACTGAATCTTACGAAACAGCATAGATTCAAAAGGCAGGTTTAATGCTAAAAGCATTTTCCGTCAGACAACTTTAGGTCATTGAAAAAGATATTCGGTTGAAGCGGCCAGTCTCAATGAAAACTAACCCTATCTGCACAGGATACGATTATAGTGGCCATGCGTAAGCGCAAGCATGGGTGCACTCTCTATTTTTTCATTCTTATTGTCCCATGGGACGGTAATCCGACACGCCTAGAGAGACGAGACATTGAACGTAGGACCGGACGATTTTATGTGCTTTCCGAGGTACAGGATTGAAAACTCCGTCAACTTCCCGATTTCAGGCTGGTACTGAGAATTTCTTGACAGAAAAACGCAATAACTGATTTTGGACCGATCCGAGATTCGAACCCAGGATCTCACAGTCAACAACCGCGTTTACGACTACTAAACCAACGTGGCAGTAAAATAGTAATTCGCAAACAATAGGCGCAGCAGTACTCGTAGGCTAATATATAATAGCGTTATTGGCATGCAGGTGTCGGTGTCATTGCCGCCAGTGTCCGAGGCGGAGGCGTACTGTCCCGCGGCTGTGGTTCCGGGTTTGCCGGGTGCTGTGGGTGCTGTGGGCGCCGCAGCTGCTGTGTGTGCGGCCAGCTCGCGGCTGGTGAAGCGGCCGCTGGGCCGCACGCACTCCGCACCGCTGCCGCTGGGAGACCCCGCACTGCAGCCGCCCAGCGCTCACCACTACCTGCGCGATCAGATTCGGAAGACTGTGAGTCTTACGTCGATTATACTTTCTTGTGTCATGTTGTATTTATACAAGGTACACCCTCCCCCCTCTACCACCTCACCCTACTTGTGCTCTGTGTGATTGCCCAAGTAGTGTTAGCAGAAATAACAAGTGAGATCTTAGTGTTAAATTGTCGAATACAACGTTCGCGGTTTACATAACAAAGAACTAACGTTCTCGTCCGGTCGCAGTCGACTATAGTATATTTCATTACGAGTGCGAAGGTGAGGGTTGACAGTTGGAACAAGTTGCAATGACGGTTCCGCACGTGTACTGAATAACTATTTTTGATACAGTTGCAAAAAAATTAAGCAATTTAATAAAGAACATTTTTGTAAAATGGCGAAAACCGTAAAAGCAAATAAGCAGAGATTTTTTTTGTTTTCGTCGCGCATTCTGGATAGGCAAAGGGAACTATGCCCATACAGCCAAGTCTTCAGTAGAATTTTTTTATTGATGTGAAATGAAAATGAAATTTAATGAGATGAAATGAAATGAAACCTAACCTAACTCATTGAATTAAATCATTAAATATGATATTGAAACAAATTAGTAGCTTCTTTTTAGAAATATTTGCATGAATCATAAAAACTTCTACGATTTTTTTTTAGTAAAAACTTTGTGGTTAGTTTTTTCTTTTTAATAGACATTATTTTGACAGTTGGGAAAGAGAACGAGTTCGGAAATGGTAAAGAAAAAGCTCGAGTATGTAATAGCCCACATCCCGAACGCTATACGTCCCTGCAATACGCCACTTTTTGAGCAACTGTATTAAAAAAAGTAATTACGGAGAATTGAGCGTAACTTAGTGCGCAATATATTAGTACTATAGTGTCCGTCTAGTAGTATATAAATGTGTTTGGCTACATGATAGTATGAAATAGTGAAATGAATGTGCGTGCAGGTGCTGACGCGCGCGCACGACGCGGCGGCGGCGCAGCTGCGCGAGGAGGAGGGCGAAGTCATCGACCTGACGGCGCGCCGGCCGCCGCCCGTCACCAGCTCGCCGTCGGCGCCGGCCGTGGGCGCGGGCGCGGGCGCGGGTGCCGAGTGCGAGGCGGCGGGCGCGGCGCCGCTCGCGCGCGCGCTCAGCTCGCCGCTGGTGGGCGCGCGCGCCCCGCCCACCGGCCTCGCCTACGACGCGCTCATGCTCAAACATGGGTAACTTGACACGCTGTGATTATATTTTGTTTATTTTATGGTTTGCAAGCTTTACTCACCACATCTATATCCACCATACTAATGTTAAAAACTCGCTGCCCGCGGTGCAATTTTTGGTTTCGATTGCGCTCTTTGTCACACTTACGGATATTATGGCCTACGGCCAGTAGAGACTGCAATGCCCAACAGGTTCGTCCTGTTTCCTCATTTTATTGCACCACGGGCAACGAGTCTTAGTAATATTAGTATAGGCAACATTTTTTTATGTACTTTATTTGCTTGTTAATTATATTTTATACTACAGTTGTAGCACTTATGTATGTTGAGGTAAAGGAAAGAAAAGTTATTAAAACCACACGGCTAACTATAACTCGGAATTAACTCGAAATATGTCCTTTCGGATTGATCAATGCACCTTTGGGTTTTCAGAATAACTATGATTTATATTTAATTTGTCAATTATACGAAAGCACATATTATTAATGCAACACTATAAGTATATGCATAAGTAAAATCGAAGACAGTAGGTTAAAGTGCACCGGACTGGTCCAAGAGCCACAAGAAACCCACGAATATTTATGCAATTTATAACTTTTTCGAACCTTACCCTAAATCTAAATTTAATGTTTAAAAAAATATCTATTCTATTTTAATAGTTCTTCGGGCATTACCCGTAACACATATTGCTTCACTTACCAAACTGATCGTGTGATCGTCATTGCACACTCATACAACATTTTATCTGTTACATTTATAACATTACCATTTTGCTATTATTTTTTGTAAATGTCTGATATTAGTAATAACAGTTATTAATAACCACTAATATACCAATTTGTAAATGGTATTTTCGAGTAAAGCAATGATATTTTCGAGTAAGCAATGTATGTATTTTGCTTCGATATTCGATTATTCGGATAACAATCAAAGATACAATTGATTTATTCCTTTGACGTGAGAATAAATTACTCATTTGCATATAACACTAAATAATATTTATATCAAAATTACTATCATTATTATTATTACGATGTTTTCCAGACCGAATTTCGGTCATGGCGGCCAGTCTTAACGGAAGCTAGCCTTCTGTGCAAGACAGGATTATAGTGATCCAGTGTATGCGCAAGCACACGTGCACTCCCTCACTCTCGAAGACCGATGGGACGGTAATCCGACACGACCGATGAGAGATCAGGTGCAGGCAGTAGTTTTCGTGCTTTCCGACTGCCAACTTCCTGATTCCGGACTGCTACAGAGTATTTCTTGAGAGAAAAACCCAATAACTGATTTGGATTCGGATCCGGGACCTCATGATCACCAACCCGCGTTAACAACCGCTAAACCAAAAAGATAGTATTTTTATCAGTCACTCATCAGTCAGTCAGTCATTGTATCACATTTGTAATCTGTCGTTTTGTATTGAACTATGTACTTTCGGTATTCCGGATGTTTCTGTTCTCACAAATTGATAAAGTTTTGGTCATTATTTTTCGAGATTATTCTCAGTAATTAATGTGTTCCACCTGTCTCGTCTTTAGTATGAATATGTTCCACTTGTGTTTCATTTTCAATAATGAATATCTTCCACTTGTGTTGAATTCTCATTAATGAATATGTTCCATTTGTGACTCAATCTTATTAATGAATGTGTTCCACTTGTGCATCATTCTTAGTAATAAACTAGCTGTTCCCCGCGACTTCGCCCGCTCGTAATTTATTACGATTGGATTTCATGGGTTTTAATTTTTTGCGCGGAACCCTAATTCTTTTTCTAAAATAAATGTAGTCTTAGTTACTTCTTATAACATCAGCTATCTGTCAGTGAAAGTCTGGTCAAAATTGGTTCAGCCGTTTCGGAGATTAGCCGGAACAAACAGACAGACAGACACACAGACAGACAGAAAGACAGAAGACAGACAGATAAAAATTTTAAAAATCGTGTTTTTGTTATAAATTTTGTATATATGTATATGCATATGGTAAAAAGCTGTTATTTGGACATTATAAATAGACACTTCAATTTTATTTATTTGTTTATACAAAGTGGGACACATCTATATGTGTCTCACTTGTGTTTCATTCTCATTAATAAATATGTTCCACTTGTTTCGTTTTCAGTATTGAATGTGTTCCACTTGTGTGTCGTGTTGTTGAGCCGTGATGTGTGCAAGCTTATATTCTCTTTAGATATAAATGATTAGTGCGTTGTACTTGTGTGATGTTATTGAGGTGTGGTGTGTGCGGGTGCAGGTGCTCGTGCGGCGCGCACGCGCCCACGCACCCGGAGCACGGCGGGCGCCTGCAGTCCGTGTGGGCGCGCCTGTGCGAGACCGGCCTGGCCGCGCGCACCGAGCGCACGCGCCCGCGCAAGGCCACGCTCGACGAGCTGCAGGTACACCGCCGAAATATCACTAAGCCACTTACACCTATCCCTAATTAAGATGCCCTCTTCGTCGCTTCTAAAATATGGTGGAATGTCTTTGCCTTTCTATTACTTTTTTTTTTTATAAAAACGAAGTGACAAACTAGTTTACAGTCCTCCTGATTATAATTGACTACTGCAGTCCATAGCTACTTGCAGCCAACTTCAAACAATGGCGTTGAAAGCTGCGTTGTGACCTCTGAGGATTAAGATAGAAATACCTTACAGCCTGTAACTATCTTGCTCTCTTTACCCTCGATACCAACTGGTGACCTACGTAGACGGAGACGTGTGTTGAGTCGTGGTCTGCGACTTAGATGAGTGTAGCGTGTGCGTGTGCGTGTGTGTGCAGTCGGTGCACACGGAGGCGCACGTGGCGGCGTTCGGCGGGCGCGGGCGCGAGGCGCGCGCGCTGCGGCTGGTGCGGCTGGCGTGCGGCGGGCTGGGCGTGGACGCCGACACGGCCTGGAGCGACGCGCACACGCCGCCCGCCGCGCGCCTCGCCGCCGGCGCCGTGCTCGACCTCGCGCTGCGCACCGCGCGCGGCGAGCTGCGCAACGGGTGAGTGCCGGACCTACTGGCGCAACCAGTCACACACTAACTCTCGGCTCCGTTGGAACGCCGCAACCTACGCAGCGGGTGAATACGACTGTGTGTAAGTCTGGACCCACTAGCGCAACCAGTGCGTTACTAACTCCCAGTCCCGCGGGTGCACTTTACTAGTGGCCACGTAGTGCATTATCTAACTCCCACTCCTACAGTTTCGCGCCAATAACACGAATTCACTATTTCCAATCCCACAGCTGTAAGGCCACAAGCGCAAACTTCACTGACTTCCAACCTCACAAATGACGGACATCTGTCTCTCACTAGCACAACGGGTTAGTCATTGGCCCCCGATTTCCAGACCCTCCTGTGCGTACCGACCTGCACAACAAACACCCCCGGCCTGGCAGGTTTGCGCCTCTAAAACTACGGATGAGTCTTGGCTCCTGGCCACCCGACCTGCACATGAAACGAGTCACTAGCCCCAGCTCCTCAGGTACACGTATGCTAACGCAAAAGATGTGGGTTTCCAGCCTAAGCCGCTTTGGCCTGTACAATGGGTAAATCAATAGTATTTTTAAGTACTACTGTGAAGGCATCGAGCAACTGCTCGTGCTTCGTATATACATCTGATAAATCGCTAGATGCTGCTATGGAGATCATATGCAAAAGCTTTGTAATTTATACGTCTAACATTATTACAGATATCAATAATAACCATCTGCACACATTTGCTCTGATATCACAAAATGAATCAATCGCGCAAACTGAAAACCAATCAGTAACCAGTTTCTGCAGAAATATACGTGTATTTTATTAATGTGGTGGTAGCGTTAAATAATCTCACCTCACTATCTCATTCCCATTGAAAACTATAAAGAACCTTTTTAAAAAGATCTTCAAAAAATTGTCACATAGTTAGAAAAAGCATCTAGATAAATTAAAACAGGTGAAACCTGAATGCAATTAACATTTTTACTTTACATTAATAGTATTTGTATGAACATGATTTCAACAAATATTTCTATTTACCAGGTTCGCAGTGGTTCGACCACCTGGACACCATGCGGAGCCTAACCAAGCGATGGGCTTCTGTTTCTTCAACTCCGTAGCTATAGCTGCTAAGATTTTACATACGAGGCTCGGCCTACAGAGGATACTCATAGTGGATTGGGTGAGTTATATATGTATGTTATGTTACTTACGGTTTTTATAAATTTGTGATTGTTTTAATAAAATATTGTTAGAAATAAACCACCTTACTCATAAAAAATCAACGTAAATTTAAGAAATGCCTAAAGCTGTTCTTTCTCTTCTCTAAACGACAGTAGAATGAGACAAATATGAAAATAATTTATACTTAAATAGGTAATAATCAACGGTTATTATGCCTTTATATTAGGCCTTTGTCATTCATAATTCATTCATTCCATTACAGTCTATCACAAGTTTACTGCTGAACATAGGCCTCATAAATTGTCTTATAGAGGATTTCGCCATAGTTGCTTCGCTTGGCAGGCGGTTCTTATTTTAAATTATTTTCACTTGTATTTTTATTATAAAAAGATGCTGCTGCCCATCTCCTGTTTTAGTTTCCCCTTATTGCCTCTTACGACAACCTTCGGGATGATAAGGGGTTAAGAAGATGGGATAATCTTACACAGTTACTTCATAGCAAATAATAAAAAAAATATTTATCAAAATATAATTATTATTATACGTATTGCACTTAAATTTTTAAGACTGGGTCATCTTTGCACTTTTTTGTAATTTTTTACAAAATAGTACACCGATACACTTTCTTGTAATTTTTTACACTTGAAACACCGATACACTTTAAGGTAATTTTACAAACTAGGATACTGATACACTTTCTTGTAATTTTATTTCACTTAAATGTAATTTTTACAAACTGACACCGGTACATTTTCTAGTAATTTTTTACAGATTAGGACACCGATACACTTTCTTTGTTATTTCTCGTTTGATCGTAAAAGATTTCCGTCGTTAAATTTTTTTACACTTTTACACTTAAGTATATTTTTACACTTTCGTCAAATTTTGACATACCAAGACACCCATACACATTCTTGTAAATTTTTAGACTTAGGACACCCGATACACTTTCTTGTAATTGTTTACACTTAGGACATCGATACACTATCTTGTAATTTTTTACACTTAGGACACCGATACACTTTTGTTATAATTTTTACAAACAAGGACACCGATACACATGCTTGTAATTTTTTATACTTAGAACACCGGTACACTTTCTTATAATTATTTATACTTAGGATACCGATACTTTTTCTTGTAATTGTTTACACTTGGGACATTGCTACACTATCTTGTAATTTTTTTACACTTAGGATACCGATACACTTTCTTATAATTTTTACAAACTAGGACACCGATACACTTTCTTGTTATTTCTCGTTTGTTCTTATAATATTTCCGTTTCATCGGACTATAGGAGTAAGAGAATAGAGAATTCACCTGTGTTTGTGCACACACTCGTAACCTATAAGCCTGTCCTGTGGCAGTCTCTGTTAAGGTTGGCTATTATGACCGAAATTCGGTCTGGAAAACACAGATTTTATTGAATTTTGAACAAAATGACTTAACCTTAATATGGGACAAGAGAAAATTTACTTGAAAATCAAATGTAAAAATACATGAATGTTTATAATGAGGGTACATTATAAACATTTATGAATACGTGACAACTTGCGTATAGCTTACTGTGTGGGTGCCGAGAGTGCAAAATTATTCTGTCGGTAAAAAGTGTCTATGGAAATGTCAGGAATATGTTTGTAGCCACCGACAGATGTAGACGATTGAATCCGTTTGGCAGCCGTAGTGGCCTGTGTACTGCTGAGGTAAGACGTTACGTTTTGGTGTGGTGGTCCAGGACGTGCACCACGGCAACGGCACGCAGCAGATTTTCTACGAGGACCCGCACGTGCTGTACGTGAGCCTGCACCGGCACGACGACGGCAACTTCTTCCCGGGCACGGGCGCGGCCAGCGAGTGCGGCGCGGGCGCCGGCCTGGGCTACACCGTCAACGTGCCGTGGCCCGGCGCGCCGCCGCTCGCCGACGCCGAGTACCTGGCCGCCTTCCGCTCGCTCGTCATGCCCATCGCCAAGGTAACGCAACACACACTTTCCTGCTAAACTACTCTGTTCAACATAGGCTTCCCCCACAAATTGTCTCATAATGGTAATAATTGCTATAGTTGTCTCGCTTACCAGGCGGGTTGACGATCGCAGTTTTTATTACTTTGAGTTGTATTCAAGCATATGCTATATTCTTTAGTCCATTTACTGGTCTGTTTGGTAATATAGACATTTACTGATCGTGACAACGTACGTAGTGTACGTATTAAATAAATGAATAATTGCAAATTATATGTGGTTCTACTAGCTTTAACTAATATGCGTGGTGCAGGAGTACAAGCCGGAGCTAGTGCTGGTGTCGTGCGGGTTCGACGCGGCCGCGGGCCACCCGGCGCCGCTGGGCGGCTACAGCGTGTCGCCCGCCTGCTTCGCGCACATGACGCGCGACCTCATGCAGCTCGCCAACGGCAAGGTACAACCCTCCCATTACCCCACTCCCACCCCCACATACTTTTGCTCTGTATTACCGCACGAGTATTCGTCAACAAAAATAAAAAGCAAGATATCCCCCTAACTCCCCTGCTTGCTTTTGCTCCGTAATACTGTCCGAGTAGCGACAGCAGAAGCAACAAGTGAAATTATCATAAATTTTAATATACAACGTTTTTGTGCTACGCGTAAAATTTGTGAACTTTTGGTTAAAAGTTGTAATATGAAGCGTTTAATTGGATATACAGGGTTATTTTGCAAAAAGTATCCAGATTTTATATTTATGTTAAAAAATATAAGTAATGATATACCGTTATTGCAGTTTTGAAAAAAAAATCGAATAAATGAGGCTTCTACTTTTATTTGAAATTATCATAAATTGAAAGTGATAATTAGGCAACAACTACGCGTACGCGCACTCCTCTTTATGCGATACAATTAATAACGTTTTTGTCATCTAACGGTGAAAGATCCGGCGAGCTTGCAGGCCAAAGTATAGGGCGTCCTCCACTGATCTTCATATTTACTATTTAACCGATTCTTTGCGGCATCTATTTTCGACAACTTTTAGCTGCGGCGGCGAACAAATATTTCATGACACACCACAGAAGTTGATGACACGCTTTTTGTGCCATCAGCCAAATCAAAATTAATTTTCTTTTTTAAGCTTTTTTCACTTGTTTAGACCTAATTAAGTTTAGTTGACATCTAAGATCAGTTACAAATGGAAGGATACTTGTTTTTAGTGGGTAACTACGTGTTTTTCCACGTGTTTTCTTTGAAATTGAGAGTAAGTGACTTTTTTATGCAGAGATTACGAACCTTTTGTACTATTTTGTGTTTTATAAAAAAAAACATTTATATAAGTAGGTACAGCTAAATCACCCTGGAAAACCTTGGTTTTTATTAAATTAAACTTTCACCTAATAATAACATTTGTAAATATCAAACAATCAAGAACCTTAATTTGGAAAAAAATACGGTTTATGATTCATTGATTTACAAATATTAAATATTATTTAATGTTATACAAATGTAAAAGTAAAGTCGATCTGAAAACGTCTAATTAGTAAGAATAGCAAAACAAGTGTTTTCAAAAGGAGAAAAACGCCGGCGCTATACGGCGGCGGATTGACAAAAGACTATTTATTTATTAGCGAACTTTTATGTATAAACGATTTGGAACAGATCAAACAAAAATAAACCTTATACCATATCACAAGAGCACATGGTACTTCGTAGGTCTATTCGGCCATATGATAGTAATAAGACGGCAGCTCAACCATTTTAAGTAAAATTAAACAATAAGACAAACGCATTGTTTTTTTAACAGGAGAATTGTTTTGCAATAATTTATTTACAACTTGAGTTTGTGAGCGATCGCAATGAGTGTTATTATTTGTTATTTATTAGACTTTTTTTCGACAACATGATTTAAAACCCATAAAGTAAAAAGAGTACCATGTACAAGTTAAAAAAAGGTTGTCAACCCCTAAAAATTTCAAATTTCCAAAATATCCAGAAACGAAGCCGTAGGCATGAACTACTTGCAAAATAATGAATATTTTGTTCTGGATATATTTTTTTTTAATTTTTAAAAAGACACGACTCGCGTGTCATACGCCACACACAAAAGTAATCGATGGCACGCGTGGCGTGCCATCCGCACTGAACCGGTTAAATTATCAGCAAAATATCAGCTCACTGGACTTGAATAGTTTGATTAGCTGTAAATTGTTCTTCGACTCGTATAATATTTGCGCTATACGTAAACTTCCATTGCTTAAAATGTAACACCGCACCATTCATAGTTTCATATTTATTCGCGGTTCGAATATTTTCGTATTGTCATTGGTAACGAAGCGACACTTCCTATGAACCACACTCGTACGTAATGAGGTAACGGTCACACTGTTAGCTTTTGGCCGGCCGGGCGGACGTAGGTACTTAGCGATCTAACGGGTAACGGAAGGCAAGGGCGCGAGAAAACGCGCGACAAGGAGCCTAAATTTGTAACCGAGCTACACTTACAAAACTGTGTAATGTCCATGTCACACCTATTCCGGTAGGTGTTGGGAGCACTAAGCTCGCTTATAACAGTGGTAGTGGCACGCTGCAGCTTCTGCTATTAGCACTCTGTTATAGTATGGATGGGCCAGCTCGAACCGTGGCAGTACCACGACCTCACAGAATACCAATGTAAAGTAGAAGCTTGGCTTCTGCGTTTTGCTTGGTTAGTGCAGGTGGCCGGAGCCCTACCCCCTCCCCCATAACATGGTAGCGGAATTCAACAATAAAGGACTCCAGGAGGTACCAGCACACCTGGTAATGGAGAATCCCTCACTGAGCATCCACGGTCAAGCTACCTTCTTCTTCCTGAGCGTGGGTGCTCAGGCTGCCCCGCGTATTCTGGGGGGGGGGGGAGTAGATCCGGCTCTACTAACTGCACGAGGCAAACAGGGCGATAAAACCATGGCGACCACTGCCACTTTATCCTGTGGACTTCTGAAACATCAGGGGACTTCACTCGAATCTTAACGCCGTCCACTACCATCTAGAGACGGCGAAGCCGGCCTTGCTCTTTTTGACCGGGACGCAGGTGTTTTCTCCGGCTGATACTTCGTACCTGTCCTACACGGGGTACAAATTAGAACACTTTGTGCCACGGGCTGGAGTTTGCGTATACGTCAGAGAGGATGTCTGTTCTCGACGCCTAAGCAGTCTTGAAGGTACGGACCTGTCCATCCTTTGACTGCGCATAGACAGCGACGAACATCCCCGCGTCTACGTGTACCTGTATAGGTCCCATAGCGGTAATGCCGACACAGACCGAATCATCGACCACGTCCAAATGGTCACAGATTTCTTGCTACAGCAGATCCCATCCGTATAGATCGTGATACTTAGCGATTTTAATGCTCACCACGCCGAATGGTTCGGTTCACGTTTAACCGATCATGCGGGGAGATCTGTTTATGATTTTACCTTAGCGTATGGTCTGACAGAACTAGTTACTTCGCCTACACGGATTCCAGATGTGTCATACACCTTCCCTGTTGAATCTTCTGCTGACCTCTCATCCGGACGGGTATCAGGTTTTCGTCGGTGCCCCTCGCGGCTCTTCGGACCATTGTCAGATCCGGAGTGTTATGCTACTCACGCTCCCCTCGCAGTTTCTGCAGGCTGCCGCCGTGTTTGGCATTACATGTCGTCGGATTGGGACGGAATGCGGTTTTTCTTTGCATCCTTCCCATGGGAGCGGGTTTGCTTTTTACCGGATGATCCCAGCGCTGTTCACTGGTGTGGTGCTACAGGGAATGGAACTATTTATTCCATCATCTGTGGTACCCATCGGAGACCGATCTCAGCCTTGGTTTGATTGCTCCTGTAAAACTGCATTACGCAGTAAGCAGGAGTGTTATCAGGGCTAGGCTGAGACTTAGGTGGCTTAGGATATAAACACCAGCATGCTTAAAAAGAAGTATAACTTCGCCTCCAGATCCTTCAAAAGAGTAATTGCCAAGGTAAAGTATGAGCATATTGGCAGAATTGGCGAGAAATTAGTTCGCCTTCCTTCGGGAACCCGTGCATTCTGGTCTCTCGTCAAGGCTGTTCAAGGGAATTTCTGTAAGCCTGCAGAGGGAGGATGCCTCACTGGCCCACGCAGCAAAAGATAAAGCCGACCTTTTAAGCCGACTTTTCTTTTCAAAGGCTGCATGCTAGCTATCGCCAACAATGTTTCTTATGCATATCAATGATATTTTGCAAACCAGTAACATTCATTGCTATGCGGATAACAGCACTAATGATGCTCTATACACCGGCCGTGCCAATATTACTCGAGAAAACGTCGCCGAGTACCGGAACAAACTTGTGTCTGAAGTCGAGTTTTTGCTGAACAAAGTCTCGGTTTGGGGGCGACTAAATCTAGTGCAGTTTAATCTTCAGAAGATAAGTTTGCGCGTTTACCGCTAAAAAGTACCCCTTTGTCGTATCTCTTCAGTTTCAAAGCACTCCCCTTGTTGCCTCAGCTAGTATCAGAATCCTCGGCGTCGACATATCGAGTGACGTGCAGTTTCGTAGTCACTTGAAGGAGAAGGCCAAATTACCCTCTAAAAAGCTGGGCGTGCTCAACAGAGCGGGACAGTATTTCATGCCGGCACACCGCCTGCAACTTTACAGGTTCGGTCTCACATGGAATACTGTTCCCATCTCTGGGCTTGGGCTCCCCAGTGCCAGGTCCTTCCACTTGACCGCATCCAGCGCAGAGCTGCTCGAATCATCGACGACTGAGTTCTTTCCGATTGGCTGGATTCACTTGCGCTGCGAAAAGATGTTACATCTCTTTGCGTATTTTATCGCATCTATCACGGGTAGTGCTCTGAGGAATTGTTTGGACTATTTTCAGCCGCTGAATTTTACCATCGCACATCGCGACAAAACTCGCGATACCATCTGGATGATTAGCGGTCCATCACTGTGCGATTTAGATGATGTTTTCTTTCTCGCACAACTTCCTTATGGAATCGATTACCCTAGCGATTTTTTGACCCATACGACTTAGGGACCTTCAAGAAAAGAGCCTACTCCTTTTTAAAAGACCGGCAACGCATCTGCAATTCCCCTGGTGTTGCAGTTATTCATGGGTGGCGGTAGTTACTTACCATCAGGTTAGCCGAATGCTCGTTTGCCCCCTCTCATATATATATATAAAAAAAAGCTCGAAGTTGTTGACGAGTATATTTGGGACAAATAGTCCGACTAAGTTAGTTCAACTTCGACCAAGGAGTCAATCGACGGATTCAACTCGGCTGGTGCAGCGTTCGGGCAATTACGACACATCTTTTCGTTAGGTATACCTCAAAACCTGAAAACAAGATTGTACAACCAGTGCGTGTTCAATGATGACTTATGGATCTGAGACGTGGTTCTTCACTGCTGGTCGTATGATGACCTCCAAGGTCGCTCAGCGAGTTATGGAGAGGACTATGCTTGGGTTTTCTCTGCGTGAGAAACTTAGAAATTAGGATATCCGCAATAGAACGAGAGTGACCGACATAGTCCAATGGATTATTAAACTGAAGTGGCAATGTGCCAACCATATTACTCGAAGAACCGACTACCGATGGAGAGAAAAGGTTCTTGAGTGACTACACTAGATGGAGTGATGACCTGGTAAGACATGCAGAAAGTCGATGGATACAGGTGGCTCAGGACCGTGTTTTGTGCTATTCCGTGGGAGAGGCCTATGTTCAGCTGTGGTCTTGTGAAGGGCTGTAATGACGATAATGAGTGATAAATAAAATCGACAAGAGCCTTTCTGATAACATTGTGCAGAAAACTGCTACAATACGAGGTCAGAGTGTTATTTGTTGGCTGTGCAGGATCAAGTGTACTCGTAGTGTGTGGTGGGTGAGTGTAAAAAGAGCGGTGTATCGTGCAGGTGGTGCTGTCGCTGGAGGGCGGGTACGACCTGGCGGCGATGTGCGACTGCGCGCAGGAGTGCGTGCGCGCGCTGCTAGGCGAGCGGCTCGCCGAGCCGCCGCTGCACGAGCTGGCGCGCGCGCCCGCGCCGCACGCGCTCGCCGCGCTGCAGGCCGCCATCGCCGCGCAGGCGCCGCACTGGCCCGCGGTCAGTGACAGGCACGCACACGTACACGCACGCACACATGTACACGCACGCACATACACGAACAAAAAACTGATTTATTGAGATTTCACAATATACGAAACTTGGTTAAGATATAAAGTTGAGTCACGCGACCGTATTGGTAGGCAAAAACAGAAACACTAAAAATGTAGAATATTAATAAATGAAGTCAGTCGCGCATAGTTTCTAGTTACTTAAATGCCGACGCGGGAGAATGCATGGTATTGCACCGTACAATTATATTAATTTATTATTATAAATATGTAGTAAATTGAATTTGATATGTTTTGTGGGTACATATAACAATTTCAGAAGTATTTTAGCCTTATTGATTAGTTTTTTAATAAAATAAATACGGTTTAAAGTATACATACTTTTTGAAATTTTGTAGCATTATATCCGAAATAAAAATATATTTCAAGTTTCATCTGACACCACATAAATCACGGAAGAAAACGACGCTTTCAACGAACTTTCGACGCTTTCTCATTAGTTAAAGTAGAAGATTTAAAAGAACAGATGAACATATACCGGATATTAGTGAAACGCTTCCGAAAACGAAGCCATACGATAGTATTAACGATACCTTTGATGATGGGTCAGAAAAAAATTTGATACCGAGGAAAAAAGTCATCTTTTCACAACGTTTTATTAACTTTATTCACACTCTATCATGTGAGTACAGCTAAATGAAACGATAATTTCAAAAAAAAACCATGAAAATACTTAAATATAAAACCAGCTGTGTAATTACAATCAGCTGACTGGGGGTCAATGTACGCGCGGACGCAGAATTCGCGTGAGGCCCGCAGCTAGCGATGGTACCACAATACCTAATAACATACAACACATGTCTAAATACCTAACTTATCCAATTAACCTACTATTTTGCCACTGTGCTTGTCTCCACCTAGCTACTTTAATTCGAATTTACAGGTTAAATAAACCAAATACCTGGTTCTATTCCCTGCTAATAAAAAAAATACTTAAATGAAATGTTAACAAGGTTAGAGTCATGCTTTTATATCCATCGTATAGGTATGTTTATAATTCAGATGTATTCAGTTATGTACCTATTCAGATGAGTTCAGTACTAAGTTATTAAAAAAATAGGTATGAAACAGTTTACCGATCTAAATCCAGGCCTTATGAGATTCTCCAAGGTACATTAACATATTGCCGTATTCACGAGCACTATAAACGTACGTTATAAAACAAAACGAGAAACACCAAACGTAACAACAAGAATAACAACAAGTAATAACAACAAGTAAGGGTAAACTTATTACCACCATATTTTGAACGCATCTCAAATAACCTTTTTCTAAGACGTTCCATTTCACATACTTCGCATTTCGCTATTTGACTTAATTGAACTCTGTTTCTGAGTTTTAAACATTTATTTTATTTAATCAGTAAGTATTTCTCTATATTCTTATATATTGTTACGAGCTTGGGGTTCGAGACAATTAAAAACTGCCGATTGAATTACCAAAATTTACACTTTAATTACACAACACTAATTACAATCTAAGATCACACTAATAATAAAACACAGTTCGCCGTTATTTCGCTTCGAAGTATTCTCTTGTATCGCCAATTCAATACTGCTCTGGTCGTGGTCCATACCGGCCTTATATAGGGCCTCAGACAGTTTCCAGAACCTTCCACTGTAGCGACATCTAGAATGTTCAAGTACATATCGGTCCCGAAATTTCTGGAAGGATCTCGACTCTCCTAGTTCTGCTACTCGACAGTAGAGGGCGCTAGTGTAACTAGTGTTGCCATGTACAAGACATTAATAGTGGCGCGCAACACTTTCTTTTACTCGACACTAGAGGGCGCTAGTGTAACTAGTGTTGCCATGTACAAGACATTAATAGTGGCGCGTAACACTGCCCCCTCCTAAGACATGCTCGTCCCGAGCATTATTGGCCCCATAATAACGCGCCAGTCGATCCACATGGCCAATCTTAGGAGTACCTCTGACACCTTTCTGTATCCGGTAGGTTACGTCATTGATCCTTGTCACAATCCGGTACGGTCCGTCCCATTTAGCTTGAAGCTTAGCAGATTTCCCTTTGATGCGAACTGGATTGTGTAACCACACTAGTGACCCTTCATCAAACCGCTTGTTGTTCATTTTGCGGTCATACCGTGTTTTCATCTTCTCAGACGTTTGCTGGCCCGTCTGTCTGAAGTGCTCATAAATGTCATTCATTTTGTTCCGCAAGTCATTTGCATAATCGGTTATACTGCGTGGGGCATCAGGTGGTATTCCGGTGATCAGGTCCGCAGGCAGCCGCAATTCTCTCCCAAAGTTTACGAAAGCTGGTGTCACTGATGTACTTTCGTGAACAGCGCTTCGACAACAAAAACGGTTGTATGTGCCTGTCCCAGTCTCGTTGCCGTTTTTCCACAACTTTTGCTAGGTACCTCTCCAATGTCTGATTAAATCTTTCTACCATTCCATCAGATTGTAGGTGGTAAGAAGTTGTTCATGTTTTCTGAGTACCCATAACTCGGCAAGTTTCCTGGAATATTTGAGGCTCAAAATTCCTTCCTTGATCGCTGTGAATCTCTAAAGGTACTCCAAAACGACAGAAGACTTCATGAACTAGTTTATCTGCAACTGTTGAAGCTTCTTGATTTGGAATGGCGAAGACTTCTGGCCACTTAGTGAAGTAATCCATCACAACCATGAAATACTTGTTACCACTTTCAGTTTCTGGAAACGGCCCCGCAACGTCAATGGCTATCCTCTCCCATGGTGCACCAACATTATACAATTTCAATGCGCCTCTACTACGAATTTGAGGTCCCTTTACAGCCGCACAACTTGTACATTTGCGGCACCAGTCCTCGACATCGTCACGACAGTGGACCCAGTAAAACCGTTCTCGGATCTTTAAGAGAGTTCGTTTAACTCCCAGGTGGCCTCCTGAACAACCACCATGGTACAGCTGTAGAATATCCGGCACTTTAGCCTTAGGGACAACCTTTTGCAAATGACACCTGTATCCCCGACCATTTTCCCATTTACGGCACAGGACTCCATCCTGAATCAGCAAGCTGTTCCATTGGGCCCAATAGCTTTTCGTGGTCGAACTCATTGCTGAGACGTCGCTCCACTTGGGCTTAGGAGCACTGGCCTTCATCCATTCCGGAATCGGCTTAATGTCCGAATCTTCCTGCTGTGCATGTTGTATGCTGTCCTTCCACTCATTGCTGAGCTGGTCTGTCCTGAGCATTCTCACAGATACCACTTCCTTACCCTCTTGCCTAGTACAATGCTTGCAATCTTCAGGGCAAGGCCTTCTTGACAATGCATCTGCATTGCCATGAGATTTCCCGCTGCGATGTTCGATCACAAAGTCGTATTCCTGCAGTAGTTCAATCCATCTCGCAACTTGTCCTTCCGGATTTTTGAACTGCAATAGCCATTTCAGTGCAGCATGGTCAGTTCGTAAGTGGAATTTCCGCCCTAGAAGATATTTGCTAAAATGCTGCAAGGACTTTACCACAGCAAGCAATTCCCGTCTTGTGACACAATAGTTCCTTTCCGGCTTTGACAACGACTTGCTGAAGTACGCTATCACAATCTCTTGATCACCATTCCGTTGAGACAACACACCGCCAAGTCCTATATCACTTGCGTCTGTGTCAACTATGAATTCCTTGCCCGCATCAGGGTACCCCAAAATAGGTGTTTTGCACAGACGGTTCTTGAGCTCCTGGAATGCAACATCGCAACTTTCATCCCAGCAGAATTGTCGCTTCTCCTCGGTTAGCTTGTGCAGAGGTTTGGCTATATCTGCAAAGTTGTTCACAAATCGCCGATAATAAGAGCACAAACCCAAAAATGCTCTAACCTGTGTCTTGTCTTTTGGGACCGGCCACTCCTTGACAGCAGCAATTTTCTCTGGATCCGTGCGGATACCTTCTTCCGACACTACATACCCCAAAAAACTAACTTGCCGTTTGAATAGTGAGCACTTCTTTGGACTCAACTTGAGGTTGGCACTCTGGATCTTCATGAGCACGCGTTCCAGGTTTTGAAGGTGTTCCTCAAATGTACGGCCTACGATGATGATGTCATCCAAATAGACCAGACAGGCATCTCCAATTAGCCCGGTAAGTACAAGCTCCATCAACCTTTCAAACGTTGCTGGAGCATTGCACAATCCAAACGGCATGACTTTAAATTGCCACAGACCCTTTCCTGTGGAGAATGCAGTTTTCTCCTTGTCCTTAGGGTCAATTTCAACCTGCCAGTAGCAACTTCAGATCCAGCGTACTAAACCACTTTACGCCTGTAAGCATTCTTCGTAACGTCGTTCAGGCGGCGGTAGTCAACACAAAACCGCATGCTGCCGTCCTTCCTCTTCACCAGCACCACAAGTGAACACCATGGACTAGATGAAGGTTCAATAACACCATCCTTCACCATTCCCTCAATCATGGTTTCCACTTCCTTTTCACGTGCTACAGGCAATCTTCTTGGCCGCTGACGAATAGGCAATTCTTGTCCTGTATTTATTTTGTGTTGAACTAAGCCAGTCTTTCCTATGTCAGCTTCGTTTGATGAGAAAACATTGGCGTACTTGAGTAACAACTTCTTCGCTTTGACTGTTTCATTCGGGGAGAGAACGCTGCGACAGTCTTCTAAAAGTGTGGTCACTCTAGTTTGTCCATCCTTGCTGGGGATCCCAGTCGATAGATATTGGCACTGACGCAACCAATCCACTTCCTCACTAGTACCAACCAATGTGCCTTTTTCTATAATCTGTTCCTGATCACAAAGGTTCAGCACACGTACTCCTGAGATGTCGGCGGTTCTGACCAAGGTTCGAGCCACTTTCCATGGAAGGTCTTGTCTACCCTTTCCACGAGTACACAACGAAGAGTTTGCCCAGGATTCCGTGGAAGGCTCCAGTGTCTATGGTCAGTTTACATGGCGTTCCGTTGACTTCGCCCTTGATGATTAGGCTGTTCCCATCATGGGTTTGTGAGATCGAAATCCTTGGGGCTCTTTTAACATCAGCCAGCACCCGCCCCGCAGTCCTGGCTTTTACTCGTTTCTCTGCTGCTGCTGGGCGGTGCTATTATCCGCACTACCCTCTCGAGATCGATCACCTTCCCTTCCTACAGTTCGTTTAGGGCAGCTGAATCGAAGATGGCCCCTTTCCCCACAGCCGTAGCACCTAGGGTTGTAGCCCTTATTGCGGTCCTGAACTGTAGCTGCTGCAACCTCCCTGACGCGGTGGGAATGATGATCCTGCCGCACGACTTCCACCTCCAGTGCATGGGTCAAGGCGTCCTTAAGCGTCTCGTGGTGCCCGAGCCTCACAGCAACTCTGACTTCAAGGTCGCGGATGCCGTCGATGAATGTCTGCACCAGGTTCCCTACAATGAGCGCAGGTACAGACTGGTACGCTTTTCGAACCAGCTACTCCACCTCAAGGGCCCACTGCTGCAGGTTTTCGTTACTGCGTTGCACGCGATCTTTGAGCTGCGCACGAAAGACGTGTTCCAGGTGAGCATCGCCATATCTCGCCTCCAATGCCTCAAGGAGCTGCTCGTAAGTCACTTCCTTACCGAGAGCTTCCAGAACATTTAAGGCCTGGTCGCGTAGGCCTAGGGTGAGAGCAGTCATGGCCTGACTTTTATTCCAGCCGTTCGCTTTCATGACAGCCTCGTACTGGATTTTGTAGGCCGACCAGGAAGAACACCTGTCGAACGGCGGCACTTTGAATCCACGTAGCGAAGGTGTTGTAGCTAGCACGGGAGCTGTAATTCCATCCCCAAGTTTGAGGTCGTCCAGCGTTTTCTTCACATCAGCCATCACGTTGTCAACCTGATTGTTCACTTGGTCGATTCGGGATTCAGCTTCCGACAGGCGGTTGTCATGTTGAGTAACCCTATACTTCACCTCCTTTATCTCTTTCCCGAAGGTAGCGTGAAGGTCCTTCCTGAGGAGCATCTGTTCTTCCATACTGCGCTGCAGCTGCTCTTCCAACCGACGGGTCTGTTCCTCCTGTCGGCGGGCCTGTTCCTGCAGCATCATCATCAGAGCACCTAAGTCAGGTGCTGCAGATGCAGGAGCTGCTGACGGGCCGGCCTCCGTGGTTAGCAGCTGGCCCTCCGACATTTGCGGCGTTGTATTACCAAATCGTCTCTGGTCCGTCTCCTGTTGGCGTTGACTTCGGGTACGGATACCCTCCGTGTCGTCTTTAGGTAAAATCGGCATATTTGATCCCACTTCTGACACCAATTGTTACGAGCTTGGGGTTCGAGACAATTAAAAACTGCCGATTGAATTACCAAAATTTACACTTTAATTACACAACACTAATTACAATCTAAGATCACACTAATAATAAAACACAGTTCGCCGTTATTTCGCTTCGAAGTATTCTCTTGTATCGCCAATTCAATACTGCTCTGGTCGTGGTCCATACCGGCCTTATATAGGGCCTCAGACAGTTTCCAGAACCTTCCACTGTAGCGACATCTAGAATGTTCAAGTACATATCGGTCCCGAAATTTCTGGAAGGATCTCGACTCTCCTAGTTCTGCTACTCGACAGTAGAGGGCGCTAGTGTAACTAGTGTTGCCATGTACAAGACATTAATAGTGGCGCGCAACACTTTCTTTTACTCGACACTAGAGGGCGCTAGTGTAACTAGTGTTGCCATGTACAAGACATTAATAGTGGCGCGTAACAATATATTCCTTTTTATATATATTTTGTTATTACTTTTTGTATAGTATAGATTAATTAAAAATAATATAATAATTAAATAAATAAATATGCAGCATGTCATTGAGTGCAGACGAGTGAAATGGATTTTATTGACATTTAACAGTTCTACGATTGGCATCGGCGCAGTCCTTCATTTCTACTAGTTAGTCTGTGCCTTCATTTAGTCACTTGTGTTTGCGTCTCGTTGTGTATTGTCCCATTTTGTATATTTTTTATTGATCATATAGAATTGAAATATGTAGGGATACACAAGATTTTTCTCAGTACAGTCTCAGAAGAAGCGGTGATAGAACATTAATAAGAGATAGAAAAATTAAATATTTGGTAACGGCAAATCCTAACCTAAAGAGTAACATTAATATTTTTGGGCTTCGTAGTCTTTTTAAATCGTAATAATGACTACATGACATTATATTCTAAACTTACAGGAAGTTTTTCTACTATAACTTATAACTATACATAAACTTTTACTATCAGGTTTTTAAATGTATGAAAAGTGGGCATGGTTCTTTCTGTTCAACAAGGTAGCATTGCCAACACCAATTTGTCAAATTCCCCGAAAATTCATGTCAAATTCCCCAATTTAAGGACAAAACTTCAACAGATTCCCCACAAATTCCCCACAAATTCCTCTCAATTTTATTTTAAGAAATAAAATAATTTTCAACAAATTTTATAAGCTTTACTTTGTTTTAAAATTTTTTCTTTAAAATAAAAATATAAAGAAATGAAAAGCGTTAAATGATACCCAAAAGTTGCCGAAATAAATCCGAAAATTAAATGTGGTGAAGATAATTACAAAAAGGAAGTCATTCGATATTCATAAGTAACCTAATAAAATGTTAAGATGAGTATTTCGATTTCTTGAAAAAAGGTTGACTTGGCCCTGGCTATCGATTTTCAAAATCCCCGTATTTTCCCCGCATAATACCAATCCCATAAAATCCCCAACGAACTTTAAATTCCTCGTAATTTTGGGAATTCCCTACATGTTGGCAAAGCTGACTTGTGTAAATTCCACATCGCGAGGCGACACGAGCCGGTCGGGCGGCAGTAGCGCGTGTGTGAAAGGGAAGGGTAGAGTGAGTAGGCATTGTTTCGCACCGAGCTAGATAAGTGTTCGGCGTCCGCGAGAATATTGACCCTATTGTCAACTGATTTTTAGTTTCAGTTCTGGTTTTATGTTTAAGTATTTTCATGATCTTTTTTATGAAATTATCGTTTCATTTAGCTGTACTAACGTGATGGAGCGTGAATAAAGTTAATAAAACGTTGTGAAAAGATCATTTTTTTCCCTCTGGATCGAATTTTTTTCTGACCCATAATAAAAGGTATCGTTAGTACTATCGTCTGTCTTCGTTTTCGGGAGCGTTTCACTAACACCTGGTATTAAACATTTATAGTTGGCTAAAATTATAGCCTACTTTTAATTTACTGTAGTCGGTTTAAAATGGCCCCGTGTTCCCGCAGATCAAGCGGTACAGCTCGCTGGCGGGCGTGTCGGCGCTGGAGGCGGCGCCGGCGGTGATGGCGGCGCGGCTGGGCCGCCTGCAGAGCGAGCGCGACGCCGCCGACACCGCCGCCGCCATGGCCTCGCTCTCCGTGCGCCCGCCGCACGCCGAGCCCGTCTGCCTCAGGTAACCGCTCACCTCACACTGTGGCGGCGCAGAGCGAGCGCGACGCCGCCGACACCGCCGCCGCCATGGCCTCGCTCTCCGTGCGCCCGCCGCACGCCGAGCCCGTCTGCCTCAGGTAACCGCTCACCTCACACTGTGGCGGCGCAGAGCGAGCGCGACGCCGCCGACACCGCCGCCGCCATGGCCTCGCTCTCCGTGCGCCCGCCGCACGCCGAGCCCGTCTGCCTCAGGTAACCGCTCACCTCACACTGTGGCGGCGCAGAGCGAGCGCGACGCCGCCGACACCGCCGCCGCCATGGCCTCGCTCTCCGTGCGCCCGCCGCACGCCGAGCCCGTCTGCCTCAGGTAACCGCTCACCTCACACTGTGGCGGCGCAGAGCGAGCGCGACGCCGCCGACACCGCCGCCGCCATGGCCTCGCTCTCCGTGCGCCCGCCGCACGCCGAGCCCGTCTGCCTCAGGTAACCGCTCACCTCACACTGTGGCGGCGCAGAGCGAGCGCGACGCCGCCGCGTTTAAGTCCGAAATTACAAATAATTGTACGTAAGAACAATAACTCCTGACGGACACTTCTGAAACTTAGATATTAGCAGTTATCATAGAGATTTTAAGGTTATGTTTTATTTTTATGAAACATGACTATGTTATTGCTAATGTGAGCAGTTCATACTTAGCCTAGCATTTATACGGTACATAGAACTCAGGTTGTGATTAGGTATTTATTTTATTCATACCAAATAAATACAACTTATAGGTACAGTCTCATTCAGTTAAAGTCCGTGATTCAAGCCAGGTAGGTCACTAAAGTAGAGTATCGATATCCATTGTTCAAGCCGAGTCGTAATTTATAAAAACTTATCCCATAACAAACCAACTGCACAGTGCACTTAGATACTGAAAACATTTGCAGAAATGTATTTTTTCAAACGAAAACAAAACGATCGCACGTCTGACGTCTATCTTGTTGTTGTTTTTATTATTCGCTCGAGAGAACAGACAAAGGAACTATGCCATACAGCCTTGTCTCATTTATAATTATCCTTCATAGTTCACTGCTTCACAATATGTTGATGCGTCACATTGTGCAGCCCTTGGGAGATTTTGACGGCAACTTGAGCCAGCAGGCATCTGACAGTTGGCGATGGTATCTAAAGACGCCTATGCAAACAAACAACTTATCTTGAGAATCCAACCATTTGGTGGGAACTTGACCAGCGGCGGTTTGCTGCTCCTGTATTATTGTTTAAATAATGGTTTGAAGTGGACTTTGATATGTAAAAGTGGTGCGATTTTGTGTATTAAGGGTTTGCGCATGTGAACTATTAGTGGAAACTGTTAAACAAGTGCTCTGATGGTGATGTGATTCTCAAAATAAGGTGTCGTCTGTCTACTGGCCCAAGCTGCCGTCAAAATCTCACAATGGCTGCACAATGTGACGCATCAACTTATTGTGAAGCAGTATACCATGGGCGCGGGAACCTTGAAACGATTGACAAATCTACATGGATCGAAACTTACAAAGATTATAATATAAAGAATACTTTTCTTTAGCCTTTTCATTTTTTGAAAATATGAAGAATTAAACAAAATAAGACTTGGCTTCGGCCTTTATAGATTTTGAAGAGATGGAAAGAAGAAAAATAAGACTTGGTTCCGGCCTTTACACTTTAAAATTCTATACATTCAAAATAAAAAAGACAAGACTGTATGGCTTAGTTCCTCTGCCTGCTCTCTCGAGCGAATAATAAAAACAACAACAAATATTGACTTTTTTTTGCGTGGCACAATGCTGATTTGCCAATTAGAGTAAAATAGTATTGTTATTTTAAATGAAAACAGATGATTTCACTGGACCCCAGTTCCTTGTGCCATATATTAATCTAAGATATATTTTAAAATATAAACGTTTTCATAATATATTTAAGATTATGACAACTTTTGAAATATGTAAGTGAAGGTATTGTGCGATTGGTCAAATCACAGGAGGTCATAAACGTAGCACATTAGTATTAAAAATTGTAGGTACAAAGTTCGAAATCAAATGTCCTTTTTATTTTGATTTCACAATTCAGAAGTGTCCGTTACTATCTAATGTAGATATGTATATGTAATGCATAATTAAGGATAAGAGTTTTGGTAATTGTTAAATATATGTTGGTTCCTAGGCGAGTTTTAGCAATGTCCTTTCTAATCCATACCTCATCCCCCGGGAATCGTAACAATTACATCACACCAATATCTAATAAACAATTTACTACAAATAAAAAGACGCACATACTGATTCTAATTCACGGTTAGAAAAAATTATAGCATTTTTTATTTACAAAAACAACCCGAATCAACACTGACCTAGGCAAGTTAGTGCTGACCCAATTTAATGCCCCATTTATACTGTGCAATTTCTTGCATCAAAAATGGCAAATATTGAATGCAATTACAAAACCACTCAAGAATTGAAAACATATCTATTTATTTAGATCTCATGTTATTATAATATTAATTTTTGAACGGAAAGAATGGCTTTCAAATTTAGACTAATTGTCTAAAACACTTACTTAAACTATTTTTCATGAGTTGCTTCATTATTGTAACTATTTGCGGTCTCAAAGTGGAAGGAGACGTCTCGATACATTCTTGGGCCCAAGTGTTAACAAGATGAAAGTAGGACCATTTGAAAGCGTATATATAAATAATTCATAGCTGAAAATCTGGCAAGATTTGTCAATCTAGGAGCTGAATTATTGTAGAATAAGTAAAGGGATATTATCTTTTACCTACACTATAACAGGTGATTTTTCACTGTTATTACACTGTAACAGGCTATTTTTCACTGTAATTACTTAAGGATATAAAAGCAGGATCAATTTAAAATCACCAAGGAATCACGAAATGGTGAAACTATTAACGAAAGTTAAAACAACAACAACTAAGTGAAGTGAATATTAGGGATATCGATCTGTGATCGATTACTTGAATTGTTGTAACTGTTACTTGTTGGAATGTCGATATTTTGTATTTTTTATTATTATTTTGTAGATATGTACGCAATTATTTTTTATCTCCTTACACAGAAAAATAATCGAAAATAGATATTAAAATGCTCAATTTACCCCAGAAACGATTATATTGCGCTCGATTCAAATCTTTTTCTTTTAAGTAAATAGTTTGAAGTTTGAACTGTCAAGTCAAGTTTCAAAATAAGAGGTCGTTAATATTGAACGTTGTTGCCAATTACTGATTGTCCAATTTAACTTGCCACTTCAATGGATGAATATTACACATTGTTTAGACGGTCCATGTTAATAATTGTTTTATTGTATGCAACAGAGAGAAAAACTTGTACGGTGTAAATAGCCTTTAAGTACCATAAATGTTACTAAACTATTATTGGGAGAAAAATAGTCTATTTGTAAGTTTCTTGCTAATTGTTCTCACGAGATCTCTAACTTCAAGAAGCCCTACTGAAGTAGGGCTTCTTGATGTTTATAAAGTGCTTTGATAGACCGATATTTTAGCTATGTTGACTTTGATTTTGAATTTTAGCAGGTCGACGGAGAGCTCCCGCTCTGGCTCGGAAGAACCCATGGAGCAAGACGAAGGCAAGTGAGTGGCCGCCACATTCCTCAGCGACAAGTTCCACACGGACGTGGTCCAATGAATCGGCGACGGCTTCACGTACTGTAGGTGTAGGTGGTGAAATTAAGACAAATCTTAATTTGAAAGCTTTAAAATGTAGTAGGATATTAAGTGTACAAAATATATTAATATTATTATATATTTGGATATGCTTTTGAGTATGAATACGGATGTGTAGATTGTTATCGTCGTACCTTGCGAGACTAGCCGCGGCGTGTCAGCCGACTTAAATATTCATGTGGTCTATACTAGGAGATATTACAATTCAACCTTCGCAGCAACTTGATAAAGCCAGGCTTCGCTGCGATTGTGCATTGTCGGAATTCTCCAATCTTATAAGAAATCGCCGCGCCGACCCGACAGATTTCTGTTATACCAAAGATTACGAGTTCTTAATTTGAGACGTCTCTGTAGCGCGGTGCCGGCGCGGCCGCACTGTTCACTTCTCGTTCAATTGATTTTCACGAGCGATACGAATGAGGAACGTAATCGCCCTGTACCTTGTTATATTTAATTATATAAAAATTGTTGTTGTATATTACAATTTGTCTATTTTTAGCGTAAAATAGTGTTGAAGCGCTATCAAATGTTTTATCAGAGTATTAATAAAATGTCTTAGATTGACTAATATATAAAAATGTTCAATGTGATATGCGGTTCTACACTCGAGGAATTTGTAAGGCCGCTGGGGCGGCTTACATTTGTGATTTTTTTCTCTTTGTCGTTTGTCGATGACGTGGACCGCATCTTTTTAGAAAAATATATGTAGATAAACAAATATTCATCATGTACTATGTACTTTGGTGCTCTTCCAAGCACAATGTGTTAATACTGACTAATTTGAATTCTTTGTTGTCCTTCTAAAGGGCTTGTTTCTATGAATTATATATTTGTTGGACGTTTCGTAAAATTCTTTGAAATGTGAAATCAAATATGCATCGTGATTTAAATGGAGCGCTTTTGTATGTATAAAAAATATGTTTGAGGATTTCTAATTCTGTAAGCAAACAGTATTTGTAAAAAAGATTGTATAGATCTGTTCTCGTAGAGCAAGTTGGTCCTCTGTGCCGGATTTTAACGGTTCAGTAATGTATGTCTTTAGTGTAGTTAGTGTTCCCGTGTCCTGTACCACGCCACCCGGCCTGTCGGCGACTTGACTCAGTACGAGTGCGTCAAACTAATATATTTTTGTATGAGGGCTGTCTGAGAGATTGTATACGTGTCGCCGGCGACCGAGCACACGCACCTGGAAATAATTTTTAACACGGTTGGGGCTCAACTTGCGGAATCGCGTGCTCGGTCGACGGCGACAAGTCACGTACCTAGAGGGATTCGATCCTTGTACGATAAACAGAGTTAAAAAATGTTGTGTCTTTGAGAAATTTTATTGTTAAATTGGAATACAAATGAAATGATTATTTAATAAATGTATATAATATATTATATATATATTTGGAAATATAAGAGTATTTTTATTTTTAAGCCTGAATTGTTGTATTTCAACAATAAGTTTCAAGCTTCCTTCATTAAACTGTCGCTGCTAAGTATAAAAGACAATTTATATAAAAGAAAAATATGTATTTCAAAAAAAGATATTATTTTTTAATTTTATACATATTCCGGAATATATAAAAAATATTTAAAGAATAATTTCTTAACGCTTTCATAGTATTTTTAGACAATTTCGAGAATTATTGTATTTTCATATAAAATGAGTATTAATGGCGGTATAGGAATATCCACTACACCTTATCGTACCGTGTTTGTCATAAGAGGAAACATAGGGTAAAAAACCACAAGGTGGGCAGCGTTTTTTTTTTATAGGATAAGGTGACAAAAGAGCGCACAGTCCACCTGATGGTAAGTGGTTGCTGCGACCCATAGACATCTACATCTATCCTCAATAAATAATCAAAATGCAGATGCGTTGTCACTCGTGAGGACTAAGATGAAATGCCTCTTTTCCAGTAAAAAGGGTGTCCGGTTCTCTACACTCAACATACGAAACACTGCAGTGTTAAGCTGCTGTTTTACGCTGGTATTCTGTGAGAGCGTGGTTCTTCCTCGGTCGAGCCGACCCATTCGTGCTACAACTTTACCACTAATATAGCTGCAGCATGGCCCTACCACGCCTTCCTAATAACAAATAAAAGACTGCTTATACAACGGGAGAGGGTCCTTCTCCAATAATGTCCAATTCAATAGTGAAATTTAATGGGGTGATGAAAAATAATTGCGCTTTTGTGGTAAACCGTTACCGTGAAACCTTACAACTTTGCCCTTGGGGGGGACATCTTTTCCCAAACACGAAAATTTACTAAAAAATATTATATTATTAATTTACTGAAAATTAACTAAAACTACCGATAGAAATTTTATTTTAACAAATGGCAACTTTGTATAGTGTCTAGGGAAAACTAGAATATCTGTTTGGCAACAATGACTACTACAATCGCAGCTAACTTCATTCAGTCATGTGTCAGCAACCATCATAATAAATATAATTTAGACGGAGTAGCCTTGCAGCGCGTAACAGAAGTAAAAGCACACCTTGGTGTGCACTTCACTTCGAAACTCAATTTTAGGGAACACATTCTTAAGATTTGCAAGAAGGCGTATAGAAATTTAGGATTTGTGTTAAGTCAGTCGCGGGAATTTACAAATCTCTGTGCGGTCCGGGCCTTATATGAAGCACTAGTGAAAAGTCACCTAGAGTGTAATGGATTTGTATGGAGCCCGCATGAAGCTAAATATTGATGGTGGAACGGATACAAAATAAGTTTATTCGATTTCTTTATTTAAAACTATATGGAGTGTATCCGTTCTACCCATTAATGTACCCAACATTATTTGTTCTAGGCATGGTGGGGTATAACAAACTGGAGGTTAGGAAAGTTAAGTTAAGCTAAGTTTGGCAACATACATGTTTAAATTGCTGCGTGGAAAAGTGTATAACGAGGCGATAGTGCGAATGACTAAGTTGTGTGTGCCGGACAGGTACGTGTGGCGCCGGAAGCGGCCGCCGCTGATCGCGGTGCCGCACGCACGCACCAACCTTCTAAAGGAGGCCCCACTGACCCGAGTGCTGCACACTCTAAATAAAGTAGCTCAGGATGTAGATTTATTCTGTTGTTCCTTGGGTGAATTCACAAAAGTGACATTATATATATTGTGTTATAATAGTAGATAAGTTATGTTCTGTCCTTGTTAAATTAGATAGTTTATGTGCCTACACTGTCGCATTAGGTACGCCTGTAAAGACAGAGGTAGAAATAAATAAATAAAATAAAAATCAAAGCGGCAGTGTCGAAGGTGGTGCAAAAACATTGTTGCGGTTTTGCATCCCGCTTTGCCAAGAAACGCCGCGCAGTTAAGATTCATTATTATTTACGTGTAGGGCATTAATTATTGCTGCTTTTAATCATGGGCTCTTTCTTACACTTGTCTTAGCGAGAAAATTGTATGGGCAATGTAGTAAGCAATTTTATAGACTGAGATCGACAACATTGCCAAGCGCAAAAATGTTATTAGGGTTGACATTATTGAAAAAACAAGAAGGAAACATCTACCTAGATATAATAAATAAAAGTTATATATAATAAATTGCAAATATATAGGTATACTTAATAATATAAATAAATGTATATAGGTATATAAAAAAAAACTACTGTTAACTGCAAACTAAACTACTGTTCTGATAACTATATAGGTAACTAGATACTGTTTTATATATATTTTAAATATAATAAATAGGTATATATTTGTCGGGAATTTTTGTCAGAAACCGCTAGATTCCCAAAAGAGAGAGCTTATATATTCTCAGTTTCAAGCTAAAGTTTTTAAATAAGATTTATGCGGCAATTCGTTTGCAAAAAATTTGTCTAAAAGATAATTTTCTCCTCAACGACAGCCATTAACGATCGCAGACAAAAATGGCCAACAAAATGGATTGGTACGCACAATAAGTGAGCCATGCACATCAGTGGTAACAAATTCAGTATAAGCTGGCCTCGTATTATATTAAATAAGTATCGTCGGCGTCTACTTTTCCTTAACTCAACTATCAGGGTTAATTTCTGAGATAATTTTCTACAAGTACTTACCTAGTACTATTCTATTTATTTGCAGGATGGTGAAACTTAAAAAGCAAAGCCGAAGACGCCTCGGTGCCAGGTATTACAAAAATTATAGTGATGACAAGTTAGATCTCGCAGTTGGGTACGTTAAAAATAAAAAAAATGTCATCGAGAGAGGCCGAGACGGACCCTTCTGAACAAAGTTCAAGAGCTGCACCAAAAAAAAAAAATAGGAATTCCAACGCGACTTCATGAGGAAGAAGAGAAGAATATAGTAAAAGTGGCAGTTGCTACTGGCGATTTTGGTTGTCCATTATCAAAGCTTGACTTACGTATAATCGTATACGAATATTTAAAAAAAAATGGGCGTGAGGCAATCTTTCCTGGAAATCTACCAGGAAAACAATGGACTTCGAGTTTTTTTTTTAGAACGAAATGCTTCAGAACTAACAGTAAGATCTTGCGAAAATATAAAAAAGCAAGAGCCGAAAAAAGTGTTGAAGAATTTTTAGATTATTTCAAAAATTTAGAAGAAACTATGAAAGACGTTCCCCCGTCAAACATATTCAACTTGGATAAAACAAATTTAAGTGATGATCCCGGATCATCGAAATGCATTATTTGTAAAGGTGTAAAGTACCCTGAAAGGGTATTAAATTCAACGAAAGGAGCCATTTCATTGATGTTTTCGGCAAGCGCAGACAGAATGAATCTACCGCCATATATTGTGTATAAATCAGAAAATCTTTATTCAGAATCGATAACAGGCAGTCCACGAGGTGCAAGATATAACCGCACTAAATCGGGGTGGTTCGATTCGTCCACTTTTGAAGACTACTTCAAGACAATAGTTTTAAAATGGGCGGAAGGTTTGCCGGGAAAAAAGGTGGTCATA